GACCCTGGCAATCTCCGACCAGCTGCAGGTTTATTTTTGGATGCAGACAGCATGCACGGTAAGTTCAGAGTAGTTAGTTAAGTACTTTGTTGTTAGTTACTTGCTATTAATAACCTAGTAGATGTATACCACATCCAACATATACATCACCAATCTGTAAGAATAGATCAAGAATCAAGAACAAGAATCCAATAGACCTCTGCTACCAATACGATATAATATACCATCAAGCCCTAAGTCCCAACCAAACCAGCCCAAACCCACCACGAATCCTTCATTCCTTCATAGTAAGCAGCAAGATAACCGTAACTAGCGAAAAGATAAATAAAAAGATAACCAGTAATATCCAATTCCCGGCTCTCGCCTAACTGGCGCGTTATAATTAACTCGGCAGTCGAAACCAACAAACACCCTCCCCCCGATTGGCCGCTCAGACAAAAACCGCCCGAAATACCAAGACGCGAGCCTTTCCCTTAACTACTCTTTTTCACGAACTCGGAAACCGACCCCACCTTATCTCACCCTGGGATTTAAATAGGTGTCGATGACAGACCGTTGATGCAGGGTGCGATGTATGTACCTATGTATGTACCTACAGGTACTCCGTAGCGTACCGGGCGTCTGGTTCTTAGTGTTGCGTAGTGTGCCGTTGCCCTGGGCCGTGTGTTGGTTTTGTTGGTCTGGGCTAACTTACTGACTATGCCTTTTGCGGCTTGGGATGGTGTGATGGAGGTTATTGTGGACTGGATTTGGGACTGCTTATAGGTCCAGGTGTTGTGTTGTGTTGGTGCGAACCGGGCTTTCTTTGGATTATACTTTGGACATATTGAATAGGATTACAGTTATAGGTTTTGACTTTGTCGGGTATTATTTTCAGCCTCAGTCGTAATATTCTCTTGGTATCTTGTACACGTCCGGGGTACGCTTGCCTCAACTCAGACCTGAGACCTACCTGCATTATGCATATTAGGAAGGTTAACTTCCAAATGACGGGAAGCTAAGAGTTAAACCAGATTTATTCCCTTCTCTAAATCACACTTTGAGAGAGGCGAAACAAGAAACAGGAAACAGGAAACAAACACCGCCGAACCTGCCACTAGAAACATTCCATATAATTCAGCCGACCATCTATATTCTTGATACAGTCTGCCAGATTCACCTCACTTTCTTGCACGTTTCCTTGGCCATCATCGAATTTCGCGTGCAGAATAGGATTGTTTTCGGGGCCTTCTAGCTTGAGTTCAACGTCGCGTGCACATTTTGAGAAGTCGTGAGCGCCCCAGGCCAATCGTCCTATTGATTATATGTTAGTATTGGAATTAGATATAGATAACAGTATGGTATGGTCTGTTTCGGGCATAAGGGAAACACCATGAACAGAACAAACAGAGTTTGGATGATCCTTACCCTTATTTACCCCAATGAATCCATCCAGATCTAGCTCTGAATATGTAGTTTCCCCGCCCGGTTTCTGGCAGTAAGCAGTGAGGATGTGCTTATCCTTGACATTGATGCCATTTGATGATTTGTGGAAGCCCATGCTGGAATGGAATAGAGTAATATCAGACACAGGATGATAAATGCGACAGGATGTGATATAGTTTGAAAGTGAGGCTCATTATATGCAGGAATGGCAGGTATCGGATTATTGCCTCTAATGACATCGATATGGTGTAAATTCTACTGTGGCCATTTAGAATGGCGAATGCGGGTGGCTCTGCCATCATGGTTTTCTCATTATGATAGGTACCCGGGGTAAGGGGTTGATGGTATAACAGCGTACCCCATGTCAGAGATGCCGAGGAACGATTCCTTGCTGGGCTACTGTTGTGTCTAAAATAGAGTGTAGTCTTTACCCAAGTGGAAGGTCATAATGATCTCATGCACAACTGCTGTCAACCTCGCGTTCACTTGTAGCTGTCGGGCATTAGTTTCTGTCCGGCAAGAAGAAGCACAGGGATGGTACGATGGTGGCTTGGGAACAAAGTTGACGCTAAGGACTCTATTTGGTTGGGATTTTATATCTCCAGGATTTGTTACTTCAAGGTTACTAGGACTGGGAATCAAGATTGTCGATCTTCACGTGGTATGTCTCCTAAGGACGGAGTTTAAGTTTATATTTTTATATTTTATCTCGACTTTTACACTGCAATTTATAGAAATATATTTCGTAAATGCATCTATAAATATGTACAAGTAAGCGTATCCTATGATTTATGGCCATTCCTCCATTAGATCAGTATTGTATATTGATCTATGATCTACAAGAAAGCAAAGTCCCACCAGTCCAGGATAGCCCAAGTCTTGGCAGAATAGAGTTGGTCAGCGTGCTGCACTCCCACGGGCTGTGTTTCTGGGTTAGGCGGAACTGGGGACTTCATGATTCAGGTGATTTCGTTTTTCTGGTTGGGGCACTTGGATTCCAAGGATCGCTCTCTTCTGATATCACGGGGATCGCAATGTTGGCAATTCCACAAGAGGGAGAGGGTAAGCGAAGGGGAAAAAAAAGATTTAAATATCCCCTCCCGTCAATTCCGAAATCTGACGCAAAACGGTTAGCCTAAAAAAAAAGAACAAATCAATAAATCAATAAAGCTGATCAAATCAAAGCAAACCCACTCGGGACTTTTGGCCCCCAAGCTATACCAAGGTTGGCCTGATGTTGCGACAAGCGAGACTGATCGCTGCTGATTGGATCCATCGCATTTTGTGTTCCTTCACATCTGCGGAGAAATTAGCGTCGCCCGAACATTTCCGGTGGCCCGTCCAGCGATCGCCATTGGATCTTCCGAAAGCCTTGAAAGGAAGGCAGCGTATTCGGCTCTGCACTGTCAAACCAGTCAAACAGGGGAGATTGAGGATGATGATCTAATCTCTGTACGACTATGGTGCCACGTGTGAGCTAAATAATCCTTTGGAGTAATCATCGGCATGGCTGCAGTACATCGTGAAATATAGGGACCGGGCCCTTCCAGATCGGAAGGGGCACACACCGACTTTAGACACATGTCTTTTACGTCTAATCCCCAGAAAACGTGGTCTCTGCGGTGTTCTAAATACAACATATGCATTCATTGAACCTCTAGATCGGTATTTCGTAGATATACTTAGATTTCTTAGATGCTGACTCGGCTAGAATGATGCTATTCCAAGCGACATTCCTACCGTTTTGGACTCAGCCCAAGCCCTGGAATGAATACATTCCATTCCATATATGTACCGGGTTCTCTTTTTATGATCATCCTGAATACTCCTGCGGAACCATCTCATAAAGTCTCTCTCCTCCCTGCACGCCAGGGACTAGACCATCGGGCTCCCAAGACCTATTGCCCACTTCGGGCTTATTGACGTATGCTGTACACTTTCAGGCTCGCCAGACATGGTTCCCCTACGTTCCAGCCCAGTGGTAACTTCACCGGAGACGGAGGTAGGGTGGTTCCGGCCTGGGGCAACGATCGCAATAGGTCAATCAGTCTAGGGTGTCAGGATAAGGGATGCGCAAAAGGAAATAAAAAAAGAAAAATTGAGATGTGCGGTGATCCCGAGAGACTGGTCTTACACCCCCTGGTCGGGGACTAAACGTACACATGTTGGTTCCAATCCCCAGGTTCCAAGTGGTGTAGAGTTTGTTTCTTTTTTCTTTTCATTTAATTTTCACACAAATACCTATATATATATTGTATAACTGTTGTACAGAATTTCCTTCCTGGTCCACTTTCGGTTGTGATATCACCGAGGTCGGCGTTTAATCCCCCATCTGACTCATAGACTCCGACGGAGTACGGAGTAGAAACGGCCGACTTCCGCCTGTCAGCTAAGCTTGACCCTTTAGCGAGACTCGCACTGCATGGGGAATGGCGTCTACGATAGCGCAAGGATTGACTCCTCTTCTTTCCTAACGGGGTTAACGGTGTCCCTTGACAGCGACCCACAATCCAGGGTCCGCCAGATCCAAAGCCTTGCGAGGCAAAGGGTCGATCGGTAGTACGGAGTATATTTCCCTGCATTGTATATTCTATCATTTGAAATCTGGGGTCTGGTGTCACAGGCCCCTGCGTATATCCTCTTGGCTTTGACTCTGTTCTCTGGAACGCGGGATAGGATTTAAAAAAAGAAAAGTCAAAAACAGACGGATAGATGCATCAGCTTGAAGTCACCCGTGGACCTTCTTATTTGTAATCATCTATAACCTCCAGGGCTGCAATGTTGGATATGGTATCTGTAATCTGTAGAACTGGAACCTTAGTAACTATCCAAGGCTAGACGGTTCTTACCAACAGCTAGTCTAGTTCGGCTAAAGAAATTAAAAAATGAAATAAAATAGAAATAAATAAAATAATATCCACATGGATTGTGCAATGTAGAACCTATCCCTGCTCTCCCATGCGCCTAGTGGATAGCCTAGCCTATAGGGCCGCTATATAAGCTACCCATGTGGCCCACCCGACATGACTGAGTGCTATATGAGACGGTCTTTTTTGGGGTTTTCTCCTATTTTATTTTAATTTATTTTATTTTCCTTATGTATTTTCGATTTTATTTTCTATTTTCACTTACGTAGACATTTTTGATTATTCTATTTATTCCTTCTGGGCTTACTGCCCCTCCCCCCTGTACCCAGAGGCTCAAAATCTCGATCATCAGAAATGAAAAAGAACTAGAAATAATTAGGAAAATAATTCGAGAATCCGAAATTTAAATCCGTCAGATCATATCTCTTGCGTACCCTGGACTAATACGATTTCCTCCCTTCTCCTCTACTTCCCCCATCTCCCTTCTTAATCTTCACTTTAAGATCTCCAGGGCTCGTATTCTCCACGTGCTTAATTCAACTTATCCCCCAAACCTCAACCGCCCCCAAGTTATTTTTGGAGACCCTGTTGGACTCTTCCCTTCCTCTATAACTACAGGGCAGACGTGCCCATCAACTCGTTCGCTACAACACCACCTGTGGAGTCCTTGACTCCAGTCCCGGTTCTCCCTCAAGCAAAAAGGCCAAAATGGTCGGTCCAGGTGGCGGTCCACCGCGCAAGAGCCACACCAAGTCCCGTAACGGCTGCAAAACGTGCAAGAGAAGACACATCCGATGCGACGAGACCTTTCCGCAATGGTATGTTCCGCAATCCCCACCAGAATCTCCCTACTAATCTCATCTAGCCGCAATTGCACAAAGCACAACTGCCGCTGCGACTACCAGGATACGGTTGCCTCGCAAGCTGGTAGTCCCCCCGCCCCGGGTCGGGGTCCTGACCTCCTCATGTCGCCAGAGATCGAAACGCAAATAGACAATTGGCATCGCACTGGCGTGCCTCCGTATCCGGAGCTCTTGCAGTGTCCACGAGCTGGGTGGTCGGGCTTGTCACGCACTGATTTGCGCTTGATTCACTATATAATTGGGGCTTCTATTGATTTGCATCGTCGAGGGCTAAGTGGGTGCACGGTGTGGGCGCAGAAGATGCCGAAGTGAGTGCTCTCTAGCTTGGTTGGTGGTCTTTGCTGACGGGTGCATTCTATAGTTTCCTCGCTATTGCGCTTGGCAGCGAGTTCGTCATGAGCTCGATATTGAGCTTCTCGGCGTTTAATCTTGCTTTTCTTACGCGAGACCAGGAGACTAGGCAGCTGGCTTTCAGTCGTAGACTCACGGCTCTTCAAGGATTGCAGACTGCTCTAGGGTCTTTCTCGAAGGAGAACTGTGATGCAATTCTCGCGGCTTCGGTTCTTTTATCCTGGCAGGCGACAGACCAGTGAGTGTTATATGTAATCTCCCTTGAATCCCGACTAACACCAGGTCAGTCAAAATTGGGCATCTTTGCAACACGGCATCTCCAGCGTCCTGGAATCCATGCATCCATATTGGAAGCAAGAGTCAGATATTGCACAGTCGATAGAAACCCAACGAAGAATGAGCACAGATTTTTCAATGCCCGGGGTCTACAAAGCCCCCGACGAAGACATGATACATTTGGACCAAACTATCCAGGCCCTACGAATGACACAGAAACGCGTTTCCCACAACCCCGAGCACTTTGAACGCCTAGGAGACCTCATCAAATTCACCCAGAAATTCCGCACTGACTTCCCTAACCAAACAACCGCACAAGCATTCGAAAGCGTCCAACCCATCCGCCGCTGGTTCTTCTGGCTCCCAGCATCCATGCTCGGACGCGGCGAATCAGACATCAGCGCCCTCCCAATCCTCGCCCAATTCTTCGCCGTCGGCATCTCTCTCGACGGCCTCTTCCCAGAGATGGGCGGCGCATACCTAGGCGCCTTACTCATCGGTCCCATAGAAGAGATCTACCGCATAATAGCCACCCACCACGCCGCAGACCCCTTCAACCCCGATTTGCGTCTACCCCTAGAACTCATGGATCTGCCCCGCGGAATCGTCGCCCGCCATCGCAGCCGCTGCAACCTCCCCTGGTCCCCCCGCTCATCCGTCGACCATTACTCTCCGGGCCCACCCAGCCCTTTTCACCATAATCTGCACGAGTACTCGCTCGTCGCCTCCTCCTCACCTGCTTCCGCCTCGACTTCTTACGCCGCGTATACCCCACCTTTGCATTCCCCTCCTGCCGTCACTATTGCCAATTCTTCCTTTCCCGTCCAAGACGCCTATGCCTCTGCAACCCCACATTCTCTCTACCCGCCCTCCCCACAGCTCATCGATAGCCAGGACCCCAACCTCGGTGTCTCGGATATGGGTCATAGCCACGCCCATCATCCTTCCATCCCTCATCCAGCGGCTTACACCCCGCCGTATGGCGACGGGCTGTGCGCCAGCTTGCCGCGCACAGATAGCACACTCGGTCTCAATATGGAGGTCTATCCACAGCCACACCCGTTTGAAATGCCGGGCTTGGCTGCGCCCACTTCACTTTGGACCTGATTGTCTGCTGTGCTGAGTTATTTATACGAAAGGAAAAGAAAAAAAATGGAAATTTCGACTACCACCCTGAGCAGGATTGGTCAGTCGGATTCTGGCTATTGAATACCAGGGAATTCGAAGATATAATGTCTCTCATTTTTGAAAATATGAAGTCTACGGAATTATGTTCTACATGGAATTGGACCTGCAGAACATGTGATTTACCTTGGATCATTATACGAGTGTTTCGTTTCACGACCTGACTACCTATATTCGGACCTTGTTTTGTTGAGCATGAGCGTTAATGTGTGATCTTGTCTCTGATTTTATCGGTTTGGTTTTTATACCCGGTCACAATTGCAAGCTGAGGGAATTGTCCCAACCTGGTATTTTCATTGATATATATATGTAGGGTATTGATATATGTACTCCACTATGGGTATTGGGCCTGGGCCTGGGACTGTCGTTGGCTGTTGAAAGACGCGGACTAATCTCACCCGGAGTTCCCAATCTGGATATCACCGCATGAAGGAGCGATTGAAGTACCCATTCTTGCAAATCTGGGATTTTCGAGCCGACAGCTCCCAACAGCTGCCTTGCCCCTCTATGTGGAAGTCGTCTATTATATTTGGAGTATTCTAGTACAATCATCATTCTCACTCAGTTTCTTTGGTATTCGCCATGTCATCGCAAGAACCTTTGCAGGCTCTGGACTTACCACAAAGCTTCTCATTCTCTTAGTACAGCGATCTCCCAGCGCGGGAAAAAAAGAAAATGACAATATCTGACGCCGAATAGATCCTCTACTGGACCTCAATTGCATTTTACAATGAATATTTCCACCCACTAGCCAAGATTCCCGGTCCATTACTCGGACGCGCATCTCTAGTATGTCTCACCTAGTTTATCCTGCCCGAATTAAACAATAACTGATCCCAAAACCAGCTATGGCGAGTAAGACACTCAATGGGAGGAAGATTCCATGTCGCCATCGACAAAGCACACAAAAAGTATGGTAACTACACACCCTAACCCAAACCCTCACACACACAAAAAAAAAACAGCACTAACAAATCCCATCATCAGGCGACATAGTCCGCGTCTCACCGAACGAACTCTCCTTCGCCTCAGCCGAATCCTGGAAATCCATCTACGGACACCCGGTCGGGGGAACAACCACAATGGTGAAAAGCGAGTTCTACGAGATGTTCGGATCAGGCTTCGACTCGCTGTGTATTGCCTCGGAACGGAATCCGCACGTTCATTCCCGTATGCGGAAATCTCTGACGCCGGCTTTCTCGACGAAGGCTCTTGTGGAGCAGGAGTCTATTGTGCAGAGTTGTATAGATGAGTTTATTGAGAAGGTAGGGGAACGGGGGACGCGGGAGGAGGGGCTGAATTTGAGCAAGTGGTTTGAGATGTTGGCTTTTGATATCGTGGGTGAGATGGCTTTCGGGGAGACTTTCCATTGCATTGAGAACGGTGCGTCTTGGGTGGTTACTGTACGAGATGGGACATCAATGGCTAACGAATCCAAGGCAAACCTCATCATTGGAGTGAGATGGTGACATCTCATGTCTTTATCGTCACCCTGGTCGATAATCTCCGCCGTTATCCGCTCTTTTACTATATCGGGGTTTTCATTCTCCCTAAACTGACGTTCTCGGTACGGAATCGGCATTCGCAGTTCAGTCGTGACAAAGTCGCGCGGTGAGTCCACGTTTTCTGTTATGTGCTCAAGGACATAAGCTTATTTGAATACAGGAGACTTGAGAGTCAGTCGTCTCGAAAAGACCTCCTCACCAATCTCGTCGAGAAGGTGGAGAACGGCGAGGTTGGGAAGGAAGAAATGACTGCACATGCCTCTACTCTAATGTCAGCAGAGTTCTTTCCCTTACTTACCGTCTATAAACCTAATCCGATTACAGCATCGCCGGTGGAGAGTCAGTCGCAACTTTCCTAGCCGCTACTACCTAGTACATCCTTAAAAATCCCTCCGTCCATGCGGAGCTGTGCAAGGAAATCCGCGCCTGCTTCAACAATATATCGGATATCAACGCCACGGCTGCGCAGCAGCTACCTTACCTCCAGGCTGTCATCTCAGAAAGTCTACGCATCTACCCGCCTGCATCCCAGGGCTTCTTGGTGGCGTGTATATTCCCCGTGGAGTAAGCTGAGTTTATTCTGTCACTGCTAGCTCAAGGCTAGGAGTTATATGTATGCTGATATTCAAACTTTCCACAGACGGAAGTTTACACGAGCGCTTGGACAGTCACCCACGATCCACGATACTTCCACGACCCTTACGTTTTCAAACCCTCTCGCTGGCTCGATCCCGCTAACACTGATCTTAAAGAAGCTAGTCAGCCGTTTTCCCTTGGTCCGCGTGGTTGTCTGGGCCGGAAGTAAGTTTCTACTTTATTGGATACCTTTCTTCACTTGAGTATTTGGTGGTAAATGTTTACTGATCGACATTACAGTTTCGCATACGTGGAAATGTGTAGTATTCTTGCTAAATTGTTCTATGCCTTTGATCTGGAATTGCTGGACTCGGCGCTGGATTGGGAAAAGGAGAGTAGGATGCATGTTATGTGGTGGAAGCCATCGCTTCCTGTGAGGTTCAGAGCTAGGGAAAAGGTTCCAACTAGGGAAATGTGACCGGAAAGATAGTTCTAGTGATATTCATATTTGCGAACGATGGCTAATGCTGCAAATTATTCGGTTACTCCTAAAAGGGGTATAGCGCTGCATTCGCATTCTCCAAGAGAGGCACAGCAACTGTCTCACACTATATATATGTCTGTGACATTGAATACAAGGAACTAAAATTGATGTAACTACTGCTATATGATCCAGCATAACTATCCCACAACCTTAAATAGTAGGCCAGAGCATCGTCTTGGCGCATCCTTTCAAACTCACCCTAGTCCTAATATGGACCGGGGATCTGCTGCAGATCATAAGTTTACCCCTGAATCCCGATCTGAGATTGTGCGACTCTATTTCGTACGCTGTTACACCCGCCGATGCACATTAAGCATGTGACCGGTTACAAGATCCCGAGTGGGCTCTATTAGGGTTCGGGAAGCGGGAAGCACGGTTAGTAGATTTGGGTTTGATACTACTCCACCGGGAGATTTGTAGCACAGGACAGAGGTAGCTGTGTTACAATTCCTCCCATCCTTGCAAGCTTCTGAGATATGATATGACGGAATAAACTAGTTAGTTAGCTAATGAACTAGTTCGTTATGATGTGATATGAGTCATTATGAGTGGCCAGTGAAGGTCGTCTGTGATTGGTCGGACAAGTATAGTAGGAGAGTATACATCATGTTCACTATCCTCTTGGAGTAACTTCTGAAGCACTAAGTCGTGTCACTGTCGACAAGCCTGTGTTCTCGAGGGCCATACCATCGGAATGTCAAACCAAGGCGCATACGCGAGCGCGGGCTCTTCCTCCCCTGTGACGCCTAGTCTGCAGTTAAAAGAACACGAGAAAGAGATTCTCAAGCGCCAAATACACACTCCAGAGCCCCAGATGAGTCGCCTGGGCCTTTTATATACATGTGCAACAACCTATGAGCTACTTGTCCTGGCCATCAGCTCAATTGCAGCGATAATTGGAGGGGCACTCCAACCCATATCTTTTGTGAGCTCTCCGCAAACATTCAATCTTCCAAGCTAATTCCCGTCATCTAGCTCTTTATAGGGGGCCTGGCCCAAGCATTCAAGGAGTTCTTCCTGGGGACGTCTTCGGGCTCTCACCTCTCATCCCTGGTCGCAAGATTCGCCCTGTATTATGTATACATCGCCATCGGACGGTTTGTCGCGGTGTACATCTCCACAGCCGGATTCATGATAGGAGGAGAAAATATGACGCAACGACTGCGAGAGAAATATCTCGCCGCTATCCTCCGCCAAAACATAGCTTTTTTTGATGTCCTGGGAGCCGGAGAAATAACAACCAGAATCACTGCTGATATGAATCTGATCCAAGATTCGTTGACGGGCAAGCTTTCTCTGACTCCTGTGCCAATTTTTGCACGGCTTTCATCATCAGCTTCGTTAAAAGCTGGCGCATGGCTCTTATCTTGATATCTGCTATAGTGGCAGAAACAGGATCGATGAGTATATGCTCTTCGTTTATGGTTAAGTGTACCAACATGTCTTTATCGGCATATGCAGACGGGTCGACAGCTGCCGAGGAGGCAATCAGTTCAACCAGACACGTTACTGCATTTGGGATCAAAGACAAGCTGGCCGATCGGTATCGGAAATTTCTCACCGAGGTAGAGGATTATGGTCTAAGAAGTCGCATTGCTCTTGCAGCTATGATGGCCATCATGAATGGGGTTATATTTTGGACCTACGGACTGACATTTTGGCAAGGGTCTCGTTATCTTGTTGTTGGCGATATCGAATTAGGAGCTCTGATAACCATTATCCTTGCTACGCTAACTGGAGCGTTCACGTTTGGTAATATAGCACCCAACTTCCAAGCGTTTGCGACCGGTGTGGCAGCAACAAGAAAAATCCTTGCAACCGTGTCCAGGAAGTCACCACTAGATCCATCATCCTCCACAGGAAGCAAGCTACAAGCTGTGTCTGGGACAATAGAGCTCAGGAACATTCGCCATGTTTACCCTTCTAGACCGGACGTACTGACTTTAGTTGAGATAAATCTTCTATTTGCAGCTGGAAAGACGACCGCCATCGTTGGTGCTTCTGGCTGTGGGAAAAGTACATTGGCGGGTCTGATTGAGAGGTTTTATGAACCAATAAGTGGCGAAATATGTGAGGCTTTTTCTTGTGAAGAATGGACCGTGCTAATGATACCACCATAGTGCTCGATGGCCACGATATCCCGTCTCTAAATTTACAATGGTTACGCCAACAAGTCGCGATCGTCACGCAACAGCCCACTCTCTTCGCCACGACAGTATTCGAAAATATCAGGTTTGGTCTGATAGGTACTGGACACGAAAACTCCCCTCATACTGTAATAGAAAAGCTTGTGTTTGACGCCGCAAAGAAAGCGAACTGTTTTGAATTTATCTCCGCCTTGCCGGACGGATTCGATACTGATGTTGGCGAAAGAGGTTCATTACTTTCGGGTGGACAAAAACAGCGAGTTGCCATTGCACGGGCTATTATCAGCAATCCGAAGGTCTTACTGCTGGATGAGGCTACTTCAGCTCTAGACGCCCAGGCCGAGCGGCTGGTACAGGCGGCGCTTGATGTTGCTGCGGAAGGTCGGACAACGATCACAATCAGTCACCAGTATGTATTAAACTAGTGTTAGAGACACAAACTGACTATGATTCAGATTATCCACTATTACAGCGGCCGAAAATATTGTTGTTATGTGCCACGGACGTGTTGTCGAGCAAGGAACCCACAACGACCTACTTGAGAAACGATCGATGTATTACGAGTTAGTGGAGAAGCAGCGCATGTCGACTGAAAAGAGTATCGTCATCAGCGAAGGAAATTCTGCCCTCGACACAGACCCTGAGCTTCCCGACTTAAAAGACGAGGGCAAAGAGTCTAACATATATACGTACGAGATATAGCAGCACCGGGGAGCCGAAGACCGGGAGGGAGATTCCGAGCAAGAGACCGACTACAAATACTCCTTATGGGAGCTAATCAAGTTCGTCGCCAACTTTAACAAGGAAGAAACGCTTACCATGCTCTGGGGTCTGTTCTTTTCAATTATCACAGGCGCTGGAAATCCCACGTAAGACTCTATTCCCACGCTGTGCAGAATATCGATACTGACCATTCCCTAGACAGGCCGTGTTCTACGGCAAGACAATCGCGGCAATGTCGTTGCCGCCTGATATGTATGAAACGCTACGTCATGATGTCAACTTCTGGAGTGTGATGTATCTGATGCTGGGCTGTACTGCATCCTTGGGCTGGGGAGCATCGGGTCTCTGTTTCGCCTACTGCTCCGAGCGCCTGATTCACCGTGCCAGAGACCGTTCTTTCCGCGCAATGCTCTATCAGGATATTTCCATGTTCGATAAAGCCAAGTTCTCAGCCGGTTCACTTACATCCTCGTTGTCCACGGATGCTACCAACCTTGCGGGAATGAGTGGTGTGACTCTAGGCTCCATCTTCGTTGTCTCAACGACTTTAATTGCTGGCGTGGCTGTATCGATTGCGATAGGTTGGAAGCTGGGACTGGTTTGTACCGCAACCATTCAATTGTTCTTACTTGTGGTCTCGTCCGACTCAAGATCCTCGGGGAAATGGCTCGACAGTCGAAGGCGGCGTATACAGCTTCAGCAACTTACGCGTGTGAGGCAAGTTCTGCCATCAAGACGGTTGCATCGCTAAATCTCGAAAACCATGTACAGCAAGAGTATCACAACATATTGGAAGCCCAGCGACAGAAATCGGTGGTTTCAACACTCAAGTCATCAGCGCTCTATGCAGCCTCACAGTCGGCTAACTTTCTCTGCATCGCGTTAGCTTTCTGGTATGGAGGAAGTCTCATCATCCATGAAGGCTATTCTATGGTGCAGTTCTTCATCGCTTATGCGGCTATTGTCGTAGGCGCATTCAGCGCCGGGGCTATTTTCTCCTTCGCGCCTGATATGAGCAAGTCTCGCCAGGCGGCCCAGGATATTAAAACGTTATTGGACCGGCCTGTCAAGATTGACGCCCGCCAAGAAACCGGCGAGCTGTTAACGAAAATGGACGGCAGCTTAGAGTTGCGAAATATTTATTTCCGATACCCCAACAGACCGGAGAGGGTGGTTGTTAGCGGCTTGAGCTTGAGCATTCAACCGGGCCAATACATAGGTCTGGTGGGAGCGAGTGGATGTGGCAAGAGCACCATCATTGCTTTGCTGGAGCGGTTCTTTGATCCTGAAGCGGGGCAGATATTGGTTGATGGGAAAGACATTTCCAGATTGAATGTCAAGAGCTACAGGAGCCACCTTGCTCTGGTTAGTCAAGAGCCGACGCTATATCAAGGAACCATCAGGGAGAATATCACCCTGGGAACCAACGACGAGGATGTTTCCGAGGAGAAAATCATCAAAGCGTGCAAGGATGCCAATATCTACGACTTCATCTTATCTCTGCCGTAAGCCACCCCTTTCCCTTGCACCCTCCGGCTCTGCTTTTCTATTTCTGACCTGAAATGAATACCTACTAACGCCCAGCTCAGTGACGGCTTCTCGACAGTGGTAGGAGCGAGGGGCGGCATGCTCTCTGGCGGACAGCAACAACGAATAGCCATTGCGCGAGCGCTTCTTCGCGATCCACGTATCCTCCTCCTAGACGAAGCGACTTCCGCGCTCGATTCGGAGTCTGAAAAGGTCGTCCAGGATGCACTGAATGCGGCGGCTCAAGGCCGAACGACGGTCGCCGTTGCGCATCGGATAAGCACGGTGCAGAAGGCCGATTGTATTTACGGTAAGAAACAAATATCGATTCTGTTTACAATGCAGAGACTAACTTACGCTTATAGTGTTGCATAAAGGTAATATTGTGGAACAGGGGACGCACCAAGAGTTGATGGAGCTAAGGGGGAGATATTTTGAGTTGGTGAAGTTGCAGAGCTTGGAGAGGTCGGACTAGAGAACGAGAATGTTACGTGCCAGATCAATTCAGAGAATGAGTGCATTTTCGACCAAATGCTAAGTACAAGGAGAGAAAGCAAAACCATCTGCCCTTCCTGCAAACTATGCAAATGATACTTCTCAATGCGTACAAAGGAATAAGGAGAATAATTTATCTCCCATATGCCATTGACCTGGCGCTGTGGGATAAAAATGGTCGTGTATAGCTCCAGGGTCAATTATATCTGTGTCTTTTGTTGTGGGCCATTCTTGTTGGAGATATTTGGTGATCAAAGAAAAGATCTCCAGAGAAATAACACAATGGGATGGGTAGAATTTGCAACTCGGAGAACCAGAGACTCCTTAATAACCTGGCTCGATGTCTTTTGTGTGATTCGTTTCTTGCGGTCTGCTTCTTCTTCCTCGCTGGACCTAAAGATGATAGCTGTCCGTTTTCGTACTTTTCGTACAGGGATTGCTGGACTCTATCACTCTCCGGCGTCTACCACACCCGATGAGACGGTCCTGTTGTTTGAATAGAGTTCGCAGTAGCGGACCCTCGGCAACCTAGGGTTGTCAGGGACGGCTACCACGGCTTGCGCGATGAGGCGTCTGAGGATCGCGTCAATCGGATAGACGAGGGAGTGGTATCAGCAGTCACCACAGGAATGTATGAAACATGACCACTAGATGACTAGCTCGGAGCTGCCAGATTGTGATCATATGCGTTTGCTCCTTATCCCATTCCATGTGACCGACAGAGAAAAGCACCACAATTTCATAGATAATATGCCATCGTTGGCACAGACGCCCATTTTTTAACGTTGATGGGCATTTTTCTTCGGGACCTTGACCTTCTTGGCCTTATCAAGTGTAATCCAGACACGTTCTGCCAGATCATGCAATAGCATCTGGGATGTCAACACGGAATCCCTTCGCCTTGTCCTGGTGTGTCCAGTAAGATGTCGTAGAATTAATGGTAGGGTTATACCGTTCCTTTCGACCGTAGGACTAGCGCCATATTTCCCTCTCTTGAGAAAATTCTCTGGGCCACTCGAGGTAGAGATTGAGTTGACTGGCCAATGTAAACCCCAACCATTTTTGAGGCAATCTTTCTCTGGACACACAAGAGAAAAAGAGAGAGTGAGAGAAGAATGACAACATAAAATCGACCCAAAAAAAGAATCCACTCTCACTTCACTCTCACTCTCACTTCATTTTCTCTTTCACTTGATTCCCGGGTGTATTTGTCGCTCCTAGCTCGGGACGAGAGTTGACGTAGATAGAGCATATTTGCTTCATTATTTCGATTCTTTTCTTCGGCGTCTGATCTGCGTCACCTGAGCCACCTTTAGACTCTAGTTCATCTCCATATCATGCCTAGGCACTGTTCCACGTCCTCCAAGCTCATTTCTGAAATCCGGACGCTCTTGTCTTGTTTGCTCTTGTCCTCTAGTTTGTCGGTTGTTTTCTCGAGCGCACGTCGGTCGATTCGGTTTCCCACGAACATCCTCACTGAGGCTTTGAGCTGGAAGAAGAGCTCATGATGCTCTTTAGCCACAATCTCTATGGCAATGATATTTTCGCTGGCGGCACCCTCCGCACTCTCCGCACCCTCGGTACTCCGGCTCATCCTGGCGATAATGTAGTTGATCGAGCGCGGCAGAAGAGCTGGTAGTAGTGTGGCGAGAGTGTGATTGATATAGCGTGGGCGGGTATGAAGCAGTGAAGAGGCTGAGGATGATTCAAGAGACGGTACTGTCGTTGCTCAATAGGACTAGGAATCTAGAATGTAGCAGTGGCGTAGCTGGGATTGATTTTAAAGGCGGTCGCGGTAGCGCTAGTCAAACAGTGTAGTGCCGGTGTGGTCGTGGATCATAGCAGAGAGGGTATTGCTGTGACCAGCCAAGTGATGATGCTGTGAGATGTAAGAGAGGAGAGTGTGATCTAGTTGAATGAAGCCTATCAAACAGGACAAACATTGCCAGGTCATTCAACATTACTTAATGAAATTGTGATGCTCTTTGCTCTTCCCTTCAAGCTCTGGTATAAATCTCAAAGCAGAGTCAATGCGTTCATCCTCAGGTGTCCTTGTTCAAATCAATTTGGGCTCCAATTTTATTACTGTTACTGCTCATAGGTTCCCTGCCTGGCAGGGTAATCGGCAAACTTATCATGGAATTCACACACACGGACGTTGCCTTGGTTAAGCTTGAAGATGGAGGCTCGGCAGCATGATCGGGTCATCTTTACTGTTATGATTCTGTTCCTCTAAAATGGCGACTGACATCCAGTTCTAGTCATCTCTTCGGAGTAGGAAGTCATCCGTGAAAGTAACTCACCCTTACTTGTACTACCAAAGAATCTTTTCCCGCTAGGTAAGCATATATCACAACGGACCCGAATGATGAGGGTCCAATGCCATTGATGAAACGTATGAGCAAATCGCGTCTTTTTGTAGACGCTGAAATCGACGTCACCCACCTTCTACCATCTCAAGTTGATAGTGTATTTAAGCTCATCTTCGATTTCTTTACGAAAACTCAAATCTCTATGAACTTGGTCATTATATTCTTCGGATGACTAGCTTACAGCCGCTGTCACTTCCTCGTACATCGATCTTCCAAGAAACTCCACTCCCCAGACGGCAATATGTGTTTCGCCTGGCGGCTTATATTTCGGTCCAGCAAGCACGACGATCTGTCTCCTTCCAATATCCGACATAGTTCAATACGCACAGTCTTGCAAGTTCCATCATCCATCTTAGCATAAAAGAGGAGGAAGGTTTGAGCCACGGGGTAACACTCTAACATCCCTCTGTATTCCATTAGGATTATGATGCGGGGCGGATTCGTAGGTCTTGTATCTGGGTTGGTGGTATCCATCAATCTGTCCACTTAGCCATAAGCATTGACAGTGAGTCGTGACCAAAGGTGGAAACATACCCTTGTAAAGAAAGGGAAGCCATGATGCCCAGGTATATTCGGCTGGCGGTTCCTCCGGGAAAAAAGATATTAAGTTGTAGAACCACGAGGTGAAGGATAAGATAGGCCACTTAGAACGGGTGGGATCTTAATTTGAAGGTGTGTTGTATTCCAGTGATCGAGGGTATATGGATCGTTCGAAAGTGACTATCTCTTGCCCCGGCGTGACGTTCTCACTCCCTAAGAAAGACTCGATGGAGGTATTGCGATGGCAGGTCGAGAATATAGACTTGGTAAAAAGGGGACACTCAAAGAATTTAACGAGAAAGCTCATGGACTCTGAGCCTAATGTGAACTGCCTTGTTGATGGCGATAGGCAACTCTGGATTTTGTAGAACTCGCAGACGCAGCACAACACGGTAATGGAATGTCCGCGGCAAAGAGGCTGCTATTAGTACGCACGATCAATATCCCTGGATTTTACTAATGTCCTGCATGTTACCGCAGCTATCGTAATTAGCTATGATTCTCCAGACTCAGGGCTTGCCGCTGCGTGGTTGTTATCTGTGAGGCCGGCCAGATGGATTTGCTTTTTTATGACGGTCAAAGCGGGATTTTGATACAGACTTTGGGCGATGTATCCAGAGTCTAGATTCCGGAGGCTAAATCTCCATCTGGTGATCCAAAGATCTGACAGGCCACACGGCTTACCACATACGCTATTGAATTCGTGGCGGACACAGTAGAATTCCAACACAGTCTACAGTCTACACCTTAAGCAGACACACTTTGTTTCTCGGCCTGCCTAATAGGGACTTGGTACTGTTTAGGTACTGTTTACTCCGTACCCCTATCAACGCATTGTCTCCCATCAACTCGTGCATTTACTTGTGTATATGTTTGAGGGAGGGCTGCTTGTTGACTACGGTATCACGACGGTAATACATACTACAAAATCAATCAAGACCAGAGACCCGAGAGCCATCATTCCAGGTCGGAAAGGTAATAGAGTCGACAGCCGTTATGAGAGTTTTCATGTCTATGTTGTAGGGTTTCTCGTTGGGCAGCCATGCCTACGGATAAAGGATCATCCGTTCCTGCCAATTTCCCAGCACGTGTAAGTCATGTGATCTCATTCCGCAACCAATACTCACCATGGGGTGTCTAAACACCGAGTAGTTAACTAGTTACTCCGTATATAGTTAACTACTGCCATAATCACATGTCTAATGCCAAAATCCTCACTTATGAAAACATCCAGCTCCAGTTGTCGCCTTAGGAACCACTTTAGCTGTCTCAGCAAATCCCGAGGACTGCAAGGGTCACATCTCAACAGAACAAAGGCAGACCCACGTCGAACATGACATACCAAGTAGGCTTATTTATCGTGGGTGATATGCCGATTCTAACGGGCCTAGAAAGCAATCAGATTGCTTCAACAGTGCCGGCGGCCATTCCCCGATTCGTCGGCGACGCTGTCGTCGTCGCCAAGCGTCCCAAGGGCCCCAAATGCTTCTACCTTAAAAGGGACAGAACCTCTCCTTGGTATGAGAGACTGGCTACTAACCCTTGGGCATGATGTATGCGCGATATTTCCATCACTTGAAATTTACTAACGGATACTAGTCCGAAAACATTAATCGCTTGAATGTCATTCATGTCGCCGGAACAAAAGGCAAGGGTAGCACATGCGCCTATGTCGACTGCTTCTTGCGTGAGCATGCGAAAAGAAATGGACTTACGCGGAAGATCGGTCTGTACACATCGCCTAGTCTGTGGCCTCGGAATAGAATCCGAATTGATTCGAATCCATTGCCAGAGGATCTCTTCGCCAGGCGTTTCTTTGAAGTATACAGTGGCCTGTCTCTCGACTCTAACACGCTCCCGACCGATACCAAGACCCCTGGGTTTCTCCAGATGTTGGCCATCTTGGCGTTCCACACGTTCATTGAAGAAGGCGTCGACGTTGTTATCTGCGAGACCCACCATGGTGGTCAGTTCGACGCAACCAATTTCGTTGACCGTCCTGCCATCACTGCCATAACGAAGATTGGCATGGACCACGTCGAAAACCTAGGAAGAGCCTTGAAGCATATTGCATGGCATAAAAGTGGAATCTTTAAAAAGGGGGTTCTTGCACTCTCAGTTTCGCAGGATCAAGAGGTAGAAAGCGAGATTGAGCGCCGGGCTTTAGAAATGGGGGCGTCACTCCAATTCATCAGAGATGTTAAGGGGACGTTGCTTGAATTCGTTAAAGACGTTCACATTAAAGACCTGCCACTTGAACAGCTAGAAAACTGCGCGCTGGCTATGCAAATTGCGCGTAGGTTTCTCTACCTACGTGATCACTCGCTCGACGGACAGGACGTCTTAGCTGGTATTGAGAAGTGCTGCTGGCCTGGACGCTTCGACATTATCGATTACGGTGGCTGCAGGTGGTATTTGGACGGAGCACACAACGAGACAAGTATGGAAGTAGTCGCAAAATGGTATAACCGGGTGGCCAGCACAAGGTAGGTTCCCTTTGGCATCACCAGTGAGTAATCTAACAATGGCCTGGACTAGCAGCTCTGTCCGGGTTCTTATCTTTGGTCATTTTTCACCGAAGCGAACGCGTGACTGGAAAGATATACTAAAAACGTTAGGGAACTCTCTACAACTGCAAATCCAGCATGTCATATTCGTCGAAAAGATTGAATATGACAATCATTTTGCCACTCCGAACGGATGGTCGGAAGAATATGCCCAGTTCTGGAGGGAGCATTGGCCTACAACCACCATTTATATGGCACATAGTGTCAGAAATGGCATTGATCATGCCAAGAGGATTGGTATGGGAGGACAGATCTTGGTGACAGGAAGCCTATACTTGGTAGAAGCCGCCCTGGAGATAGTCAAGAATGAGCCTTTCTAGAATCAGCTTGTGCCCTGTCATCGAGGACTCCCGAATGATAGATGATTACCTTTATCATTCTTATAATAGCGCTATTCAAAGTCACCCTCTAGATCTTGAGAGAAAGATCAAAAGCGTCATAGTCCATTTCAGTATCTTGCCGCAATAGCAGGCCTCTCACTTCTGAGATCAATACTTGCAAACATGAGGGAACTTTTCTCCGCGACCCATCGCAGCTGGGGGAACAGAATGCAGGGACATGGGGGATTTCCACGTTGCGATCATCCTATTGCTTCTCAGTGTATACGGTTTCATTAATAGAGTGACTACCCATCCACCATTTGACCAAGCACAATCTAATTTTGCTTTAGGTCAAGTTCTCTCCGTAGCATTTCCAAGCTGAAATCATCATTCTCGAATTCCGCAGTGCTGGTACCTCCGGCAGTAGGCCCTGTTTGTTTGTGAGCGGATCTCCCTTGAAAGCACAGGAATCAAAGTCGATTATCACTGCCATATGCCCCTCTCGATCTGTAAACATAACGTTGTCTTGGTGGATATCGTTATGGACAATATGAAGATGATCGATGCCCGCCTTGACCTGCCAGGAGCTCTAAGAACTGTTATGATGTAGGGATGTTGCAGACCAAGAACAAAGCGATACCATTAGAATCAACTCTGAAGCGCCTACACGAAGAATTGTGTTCATTGGTAATCAAATTGATCTCGTCGTGTATTTTCAAATTGAAAGGTAAACAGCTCTATGATAGTGGGACGCACGTGACTGGAAGCTATCACAATTATTCTTCACGTGACAATGACATAACCGCATTCCCATTTAGGGAAGAAAGCAACTTCAAGCGCTCATATCGACAACACAACACCTTCCATTCAATCGTCCTTCGCATCCATCACAGACAGTCAAAATGGCTGATGTAGGTGGCTGGAGCACCATCGAGTCAGACGAGGTACCATCAACCCTACTATCCATCCAAAGCAGCATAGTAACCCAAGCTAGGGTCTCTTCACCTCTCTGATCGAAACACTTGGAGTAAAAGACACGCAATTCGAAGAGCTCATCTCCCTAGATGCAGACACGATACGGGCACTAGGGTAAGCAACACAAACCTCCCAAACCCCGCAATTCCAATAAAATACCCCACAACCAAAACCAGTCCACAAAACTAACCCCAAACAGCACAGTCTACGGCGTAATCTTCCTCTTCAAATGGACCCGCGAAGCTTCCGGCGCACGCGCCGAAGCCCCCTAGACGGAACCTACGACCCCGCCGCAACAGACAAGCTCTTCTTCGCGGCGCAGACGATCCAAAACGCCTGCGGCACGCAAGCGATCCTCTCCGTAATCCTCAACCACGACGACCCAGCATCGCCACAGCCAGCAATCGAGCTCGGTGACGAGCTGCGCTCCTTCAAAGACTTCACAACGGGGTTCCCGCCCGAGCTGCGCGGCGAGGCGCTGTCGAACTCGGAAGCGATCCGCAGCGCGCACAATAGCTTCGCGCGCGCGAGCCCGTTCGCCGACGAGACGGCGCGTCCGCAGGACGACGAGAAGGGTGCGGACGTTTATCACTTCATTGCTTATACACCGGTCAATGGGACGTTGTATGAGTTGGATGGGCTGCAGCCGCATCCTATTAGCCATGGTCCGTGCGGCGCGGCTGAGTTTCCCGAGAGGGTTATTGAGGTTCTGCAGAGGCGGATTGCGCGCTACCCGCCTGAGGAAACGCATTTTAATCTTATGGCTGTTGTGAGGGATCCGCGTGGGAGGGCGAGGGAGATTGGGGATGTGGAGACGCTGGAGAGGGAGGAGAGGAAGAGGGCGGCGTGGCAGTGGGAGAATACGCTCAGACGGTGTAATTTTGTTGGGTTTATTGGGGGAGGTTTTGAAGGGGGTTGTCGGGGTTAAGGAGAAGGATCCGGAGGGGAAGGCTTATGGGGAGTGGGTTGAGGGTGCGAAGAAGGAGACGAGGAAGAAGCTTGAGATGCGGAGGTAGGGTTGGATGTTGGCTGCTTATCTACAATGGCATTTCAGATACCCTAGAGATGATTGGAAATGATGTAAGACAAGATATGGTATTCGATGATGATGTTGAAACCCCAACGCTATTGTGTAGTAGATACATGTAGGTGTGATAAGTCACCGATTGACGCAGTGCTATGTACTGGCGTCCACTCTGTAATTCATGATATGTATGAACAAGTCTCCGTCAAGATTATCGTAAGTTCTCCTCCTAGTATGTGACAAGCCGCGACTTTATGTGCTCCAGTAAAGGCGCGGGCAGTTCCTCTGGTTTGATCAGATTCAGTGACAGCAGATCACCCCAGAAGAACATGACTCGGTCCTGTGCGTAAGCCAGGTAGTCAAAGTCCCCGTCATCTTCTTCTTCGATATCGACCACAGCCGGCGTCTTAGTGTCATCGTCATTGCCGTCGCTTGGCCCGTTACGAGCAGCGAGCATCTCAGCAATACCTTCTTCCATGCCAGGCACCTTGGCCTGGACGATACCCCAAGCTACCCACTGCGCGGAGTTCATCGCCCGCCACATCCGGGTCTGCTTCATGAGGAATCGTACCTCGGCGTCGAGTTCAGCCTCTTTAGACTGCTCATTTTGGGAAAGCCGAGAGCTGGGTCTATCCGAACCCTCGTCCAAGTCCAATGGTGCGAGCGCAACAGGAGGGCGAGCGCGAATGGTCGGCGAGGATAGAGGTGAGATAAGTCCGCCTGCGCTGGAAGGTCGGTGGGTGAGGTAGGTCGACACGAAATGGTACTGCTCCTCTGATGTTGGGTAGTTGCGGTTGTTGCAAGCCCATGAGCGCTCTTCGTCGTGGTAGTTGTAACACCACTCGGTCTGTTGTGGTTAGCATCCATTTAAATTAGTAGTTGGGTTAGACTTACAAAGTGGTTGGCGAACTCGAGTCCAGGTGTATTGGCCGAAGAGTACTCAAAGTCGATGACGATCAGCTGTTTATGTTCATTTGCAGGCAAAAGCAGCGGTGACTCTGTGGCCGGCTCCATGCGAAGTAGATTGCCATATTGAGTCTAAACAAGTCAGTAAAATTCCCAGGAAGGTGCACTTGGAAGAGATGAACTTACATCATTATGCGCAAACACTAGCTGTCGCTTGATCTCGGCCATTCCACCAGAGCTGTTAACCAGCCAAAGTCGGTAGTTATCCACGGCTTTGCGGAACACGTCCCACATTACGCCGCAGACATAGCCGCGGCGACGCCATGGTTCCGATGCGGCTTTGGCCTCGTTTTGAGGGGATTCGATTTCTTTATCCAGCCAGTTCATCACTTGCTCGCAACGGTCCACCCATTTATCCCAGTTCTTGAAGATCATAGGTCCGCCTTCGCGTTCTTCTTCAAGAAGTTCAACGCCATCATGCAATTCTCTCATCCGCTTGGCAACCTGCCTCGCCGTTTCAGGCATCCGCAGCTCCTTGGGAGTGAGTGGGCGAGCCTCAAAGTACTCTTCGAACCGGCCATTAGTGAAGGTTCCGAGAATGCGTGGGCCAATATTCTTCTTTCCGAGACGACGAAGAATTTGCAGCTCATTCTCTCGGTCGATTAGATGATCGACTTGAGGACCGTAGATACGCAAGAGAAGCTTCCTGTAATCCAATTAGATGTGTCTCCAAGCGAGGGGGGAAATTCGTTGCTTACGGTGGGCGCTTCCTTGAAACCAGACTGTTGCTATCGGTCTTTGAAGGAGGCAGATTCTTGGGCGGCGCAACTACATACACGGCGTTCGTGAGGGCACCGCTGAGCCTGACCACTTCAATCTCTGACGCCAAATCCGCGGGAACCCTGCGCCAGCCCTTCAGCTGCAGAGTGTGTACAAGACGTACGATCTCGGACTTGAAAACCACCCAAGCCTCGGCATCCTTTCCTTGTTTCACACTCGCGCTGGAGTCAGTGTTCTCTTCTACTGCAGCGCCACCGGTGTACGCAAGCGTCTTTGTATTATCCAGGGAAGCTTCCACGCTTGGCGGGGCCCCGTCGGCATCTGTGAGTTCAGACTCGGAGGCCGAGCCTCTTCTCAAGCCTCTAAGACGATGCCGAGACTGCCGTTTGACAGGTTGTCTGTGGGAGCCCAGTGCACTTCTAGGTCGGGCAGTCGCATATTGGAGGAGGATTCTTTCCAGTTTATCCAGGGAAAAGGTGTTCTCCGAGGTGTTCGAGGTGTTCGAGCTAGGTCTTTCTAAAACGGCGTTCTCTTCGGTTGACTCGTTCTCGTTTGTCGCATGGGAGGTTGCTTCGGCTTTGCGTACTTTACGATTCTGTCGTCTGGCTTTCTCATGGTGTAGCCATTCGTATACTTGCTGGAATAGACCTTGGGAATCTTCCTCGGATCTGGGGTGTTCTTGGTCCTCGCGAAGTATGAGAGTCGAAAGATCATCCAGAGAAGGCATGATGAATAGTTGCGTAATGGGCTTTGGGGCAATTCTGTCTGGCGGGGAGCCGACAACGGTTCCACTTGCGTGCAAGCCTTGGTCAAATTGATATCCGAGCCGTAGATGAATCTGTTGGGAATTAGTATGGTTAGGATTAAAGAAGGCCAATGGTTCGAGTGCTGCTGGAGCGAGAGTCGAGTCGAATTACAAGAAAGGGGGCAAGGTGTACTTGAAAGAACACAGAGCGATACGGTGGGATTCCTTATCTACACGAGAGTCGCACACGGAACGTGCGAGAAAGGGGACGGGAGCCCTACCTGTGAGTTGAGAATGGTATGTGCACGTGTAAGCCAAGACACGGAGGCTCAATGGCTTATCTTTGGCGCACGCGACCAGTTGCGAAATCGGATTCTAGCCGACAAGTGTCCAGTCGAAATGATTCAGGGGAGAGGTGGAAATTAATTGGACCCCTTAAAACCACGGGTGGACAAGCGAACGGAGACGTCAAGTCAATCGGATGCGGTCCCTGGAATGCTACCACAGATCCAAAGTGACGAAACCTGGGGAATTCAATGTTAAAAAGTACAGCGTCAACGGAGACCAGAACGAAAGAAAATGCCGTGTCTAGTCCCTGATGGTGGGGGAATATGTACAACATAAAAAAAAAAGCGGCGAAAAAAAACTGGATGCTTATTGCTCAGGTGACTGTTTGGTGCCTGGATAATCAGGCAGATAACCTGTTTCCATCTGTCTCGGGATATCCGGACTGAAGGGAACCAGTTGGAAACATCAATGATTGATGTCGATGACAATGAAGGTACGTTGATCCCATACGTCAATAGCAAGAAATAGAATCCGCGGATCATTTTCCTAATCAGGGAACACCTTACAAAGCCATCCTTATTCAAAGTCGTCCTCTGCCGTCGACCTTCTGGACCTCTATCTGTGTCTGTGGGAGTGCTACACGATCAAGTCGGCCAGCAAAATACGCTTGGAAGAGGAGCATCGCTTCCTACAAGACTCGAACGGATGGTTGGTGAGAGAAAATGAAAAGTTTCAATAGTGCTGCAATCATTAAGAACTGCTGCTGTGGGGTCATCGTCAGGCTTTTGTGTCTATACACCAGGGTGTTCTCGGAACACTACAGAATAGTGACAGACCCTCGTATCAGATAAGTGAGCTACAATGATACCTTGCAGGAGTAAATTAAACAAGCTATCTTCATCTGGCCAAATTCTTGGCTATCGTATAATAGTAAAAGAACATGGTCTGACCGGTCTTCAACGGGTAGAGTAGGTGCGGGCATTCCCTACACCTTACCAATGTACATTTTTAGGGAATAAGATCATTCCCCGTTTGCTTTTACGTAGATCAGGAGCTACCATCACTGGGTAACATAGCCTTACGGTCGTGGTCAAGACCCTTCTTGGACTTTGTTTTTCTTTTATTTTTTTCCGATAAGCTTTCTATAACCTAGGAGCTAGGTATACTGACCTCTATATATAGACTCTATGAAACCACTCAATCTTCCTGGATTCTTACCTTCAGAAACTGTCTTTTATCGTAGCTGTACTTCCTGTATATGAATAATGAGACAAATTGATCGAATTGGTTAGTTGGATTATCTTTGATACTTAGTACTGGCGCTGATATCGGCATTTTTCCTTTCTAAGCGGGTGGCTTGGATAGAACTCCGGCTCAGTAAGCTCAGTACAGAAACCAGAGAGGTTCTCAAAGAGTATCCGTTCTTTCTTCTGCGAGTTGAGTCAATATTGGGCAAATTACGAAGGATACATTATCAGATAAGTGACATCCTCTTGCAGCATTCCAAGGTTCTACAGTAGTTAGTTACAGTGACTGTTCATAAGTTTTAACACCCCCTAGCCCCACACCCTTAGATTATGTAATATTCTGCCAGTCTAAAACTCCATAAATTGAAACTAGTATCTACTAATATGGTATATACCACCCCTGACTGTCAATGATAGCCTGTACTCGGTGAAGTATTGTCTCAGAGATGCTTTAGATGCTTTAAACCAATCATTTCCCATGCTTGCTGCGCATTTTGTACGGCGGTGTAGACTGTATAGGAAGGCGGTATATGGGTGGGGCTTTATGGGGGTGTTAAAACTTATGAACAGTCACTGTAACTACATGTAGTTATCTGTCGACGTCAACATTGTCCTTACATCAGCGCTGCTCGGAGGTTGACTTCTAAGGTCAACGATCTGAATATCTTCGCGACACCATATCCAATACAACTCAAAGCTCGACAGGCTAGCCCATATATCAACTTCATAATGGATAAACCACAGGATACGGAAGGCACGATGGGAGGGACACGAACGTCGACTCTCGCCCAGGTTCGTCCATAATCCTCTGGCCCTTTTCCCCTACAGACACATGATCTAACATGATTCGATTCGATCGATTCTAGGCAAACCTGTCAAGCGGTTCTAACCTCAGCGATTCGACCTCTGCTTCTGGCGGCTCAAAGACCACTGTAAACACGTCCCCACCCCAATCATCTTGCCGGCCATTTCTAGGAGAATCGCACGATCTTTTCGTACCCCCAGACGCAAGAATACTTCGCCCGCGCTCTCTGGAGGATATCTACGACGAAATTAAAGAGTTGAAGGCCGAATTTGACAAGAACACCCTCGACGCGCCTAACCCCCGACCATCACAATACATCTGGGTCCACAAAATCCCGCAACACCTCTTCGCCGAGATCGAAAGAGACACTGAACTCTTCCCAGGTGTTCGAACTACAGTCGCTCACGCCGAGTCCGCTGTGTTATTGAAAATAATGCCGGGCAGACAGCACGAACGTATAATCTGCAATTTCAGCACTATCGTTCTTGGCCATCTCAATTCTATGGGCTTGTGGTTGCAAAATGGAGATTTCACCGGCCAAGGCTCAGAACGAACGCCCGGAGTTGCATGCAGCAAGGAGCCAGATTGGGCACTCGGTCCGTACGACGCCCGTGTCGATTCGGCCGCCGACGAGTATCCATCCCTCGTGCTTGAGGTTGGGGCTTCTGAGCCCTCGGACGCACTCCGCCGGGATGCCCATTGGTGGTATGCAAATACCCACCAAGAAACCAAACTCGTCGTATTGATCGACGTGACAATCGACGATCCGTACCGCGTCGATTTTGAGGTTTGGACTGAGGTTATTAACCAGTCCCTTGTCCATTCAACCCGAAATGGTCCGGCAAGAGTCCTTCGATGCACCCAGAGAGCGTCGTTTGAGAACGGGGTGGTGACAGGCGCCCCTTTGATCCTTGATTTCCCCACTCTCATGCACCGAGCGCCGGCGGTCGGCGAGCACGACATTGTTTTAGGGGCTGCGGATTTAGCGATTATCGGTGCACGACGGCGGCCCGCTCCCCGGTGACCACCCAGTGGACTCCAGTTAAACAAACAAACTTCATACCTGGCTCCCCTCGCCTCTCACTTCATGAGGGAGCCAGCATACTAGAAGTGAGAGCAAACACTGACTTCTCACCCTCACTTTGACCCCTCCCTATTTGTTACTCCTCTTTCATCCCTTCTGCCTTTCCTTCTTTCATCAATACTCCTCCGTCCTCAACTTCGTCACTTCATCAACTCTCATCCGCCGCATGGTGCCCCAGTCGTGCGTGCATCGCTTCACCAGTTTCTGCACTGTCACTACTGCACAACATCTCAGGTGCAAATCGTCGACCGCTGGTATCGTATATCTCAAGCATATGATACTGTTGAGTCCGGGTGGGCAGCCTCTCGATCTGGCACTTAGGGAAATGAGGTAAGACTCCTTAATAGCCAAGATGAAAGAGTCGCTCTCACAGATATACCGCCTTAGTATTGTCCATAAGGACCCGGCGCCGCGGAATTGGTTCTACAATCCAGAAAGCAAAAAGGTTGTCTTTTTTGACTTCGAAAGGGCTGAAATCCTTAGTTTGCGGCCGATTCTGGGAGCAATCTCACCAAATCGCAAACGAAAATGGATATCCCGTGATGGGCTTGATAAAGCGCTGTTCGAGACAAGGTTTGCGAGAGAAATAAATAGGGCGGTGCAGGATCGCTGAAAAGTCCCTTAGCTGAGACGCGATAATCTTCAGAATCCAGATTTTGGGTCCTCAATCTGATCACAATTCGTCTTGTAATGTCATTTTCGAAGATCTCTTTCCGTATATCGGAAATGCTACCTATGAACACCATATGGCCACGGGTTTGGTGTTTGCACTGAGGATATTCGGATGTGTTCAAAATAGAAATCTTTGGTAGAGAACTCGAGATGGATAAAAGGCTGTGGGTGAATGATGGATGCAGGTCGCAAGCCCATCCCTTGTTATATATGGCTCTGTTACACTAATTCCAAAACGGCAAGAGAGCTGCCTAAAATGCCCAAAGTCGACAGTATCAGGCATTACTTCGAAGAATTCAAATAACTCATATCCTGCATTGCTCAAGGCTTCTTTGCCATCGTCTTAGCAGCTCTTCAATGGCAGTATCATCATCGCTGATATAGAAGCGTTGGAGACGATCTCCACTGAAGGATCCGTACTATGGCCCTAGTCTGAGTCGATGTTATATCTTCCGCTTTCAGGGAATCGAAACCGGGCAGCTACATGATGTTGGGATTCTCTCATTACACTACATAATTTGGTATATCAAGACAACAATGATATGGAAAGAAATAGACATTGACTCCCATTATCTTCAAGGTATTTCCAGCGGGCGTTTTCAGATGAAACAGAACTCGTCATCCTTCTCCAAGATTTGGCCTCCAAGCAATTCAGTAGAGCAGTGGGCATGTGAACTCAGAGAACTCGGTAGCCCTTCACTTCATTCATAACGGTTGCTCATCAAGGTTGCGGGGATTGGCATGCACGATAATTGAGTGGTGGTCTTCTAGGAGAGGCGTTTTGGCATCCCAACCATGGACGTTGTACCGATACATGACTTTGTCACCAAGGGGCTCATCCTCTCGAGGCCATCTGATAAGAATCCAACCACGCTTTTTCCCATGACGGAGTATGTAGACTGGGAAGACCTTTTTGATTTTGTGGGCCGTGTTGAAGTCGTAGTCAAGATGGTTAATGTCGACGACAATGTAGGTGCGGCTATGCCATACATCAACAGCGACAGGCAGAACCCGCGGGTCATCTTCCCAGCCAGGAAAAACCGCGCTGATAACTCCGTTGGCTGAGGCGCGATAGTCTTGAGAATCCAGATGCTTAGTTCTCACTTTGAGCACGATTCGTTTCGCAGTGTCACTCCCCAAGATCTCATTTCGTATGTCAGAAAGGCTGCCTATGGTCGCCATGCTCCAGACTTTGGTATTTGCACTGAGGGATGATAAATTTCGATGTGTTCGAATGTCGGGATCTGGAGATGGAGATGAGAACTCGAGTTAGATAAAAGAGAATCATTGATGGGAAATGAAACCATGCCTAGATGGGTTGTATTGTGTGCTTGCTGTGTATAAAGGAAGATCAAACAAGGTAGGGAGTAGGTCCTAATAGTTTGTTGAGCGAAGCTCAGCAAAATCAACTGAGGCAAAAACGGTCTCAACAATTATATGTCGCAAAAGCATCAACAATACTAATCCTAATACGGCAGGATAGATGCCTAAAATGCCCCTTACTTTGTTCTGTGCATGTGCAAGGGTATAGTAATTGATTGTATCGCGAGCAAATAGGAACTAAGGGAATGAATCTATGAGTGCTTCGCACATTTGCCTGCTTATACAAGTCGTGGGGCTTACACTTTTTCCCATTTTCAATGATACCATAACATAGGGGAAAATATATAACATCTGTGATATCATCTGGAAGCAGATAAATCCTATATCGTCAAGGACAGAGGCCGACTACTCTTGTAGTAAGTTGAGTTAGTTAGTCTTCATAATCTTTGTCATCCAACTGCATAACTATTTAGCACAATAATAATGCAAGCGAGTGGATCTTGCCTTCCCGGGCTTCCATCACGATTATTCGGTCATGTCAACAATGGCCTGGACTCTAGTCGCTACGATCCTTCCACTTCTTCTTTTCTATCTCTGGAGAAAAATTACATATTGCCGAACGGAACAGTATGCCTGGTTGCCCCAGCTTCCACCATCGCTACTATGGGGGCATTTGTCCACGCTCGACAAACTCATGAAGACAAATCGACCAAACATCCACATCGGTCGGTTAAAGCGTATTTACCAAGGAATATAAAACTGACTGTAATTGATAGACGAAACTCTCAAAGCTATGCATGATTCTCTCGGCAAGCCGGCGCTATTTGTTGTCGATTTGCGACCAGTGAGCCATCCTATGTGCGTGATCTGCGATCATGATGTTGCAGAGCAAGTAGCGAAAAGCTCCAAGCTGTTTCCGTACAGTCCGCCAAAATCACCCACGTCTCGCTGGTATAGTGACATGATGGGCCCACTCTCGATTGTTCTTGCAGAGGTAGGTTGAAGGTCGAGGTACATCTAGACTACACTAACTGGAGTCAGAACGAAGAGTGGAAAAGCCTTCGCAAACAGTTCAACCCGGGATTTGCCCATAAGCACCTCATCAGTCTGCTGCCATGTATTCTGGACAAGACGCAGCTTTTCTTGACGAAGCTCGACCATTATGCGAGCACTAATGAGGAGTTCCTACTGGATGAACTATGTACGAATTTGACATTTGACATTATCGGCGCCGTCACCATGGACATTGATCTGGATGCTCAACTCGGAGAAGAGAACCAAAGTGCAATCGTTCGACTCTTCCGCAAACTAGGCTCAACCTATCGTTCCGGCCACAGCGGATGGAAATTATTACTTCCTCTCCAGAGAAAGTTGCTTTCTCGCCAACTTGGTGCGCAGATCAAAGAGCGTATCAAGGAAAAGTTTGAGGAGCAGTCAACTTCACAAAATCTGTCTCGCAGTGTCCTTGCTCTAAGTCTAGTCGAAACGCAAGAGTTAACGCCCGAAGTTTTAGACCGGACTTGCGATCAACTCAAGACTTTTCTATTTGCCGGTCATGATACAACAAGCATTTTGTTACAATGGACATTCTACGAGCTAGCTCGAACCCCGCATGCCTTGCGCCGTGTTTGCATGGAACTGGACGAGATATTCGGTCCTGATACGCACCCGACTCACATTCGAAATCAAATCTTAGAACACGGAGAGAATGTTCTCCAAAGAATGACCTACACCTCTGCCGTTATCAAGGAAATTCTTCGGCTGTACCCACCAGCTGCGACAGCGCGATTTTCCACCCCAAACACTGGGCTGAGCGTTCGATTACCGAATGGTGAAGATAAGTGTCTAGATGGTTTGATGCTATACAACTGCCAGAAGCTTATACAGCGTGACCAAGCTGTGTACGGTGACAAAAGCGATGAGTTTATTCCCCAACGCTGGTTGGAAACAGGCTCTATACCGGCCAGTGCTTGGCGGCCTTTTGAGCGTGGTCCCCGCAACTGTATTGGACAAGAGCTGGCGAACATCGAAGCACTTGTGATTCTCGCATGTGCCGCACGGCGATATAATTGGGAGAAAGTAGGACTTGGGTCAACCAAGAGGGATGAGTCAGGTGCGCCAATTAAAAAAGAAAACGGACAATACGAAGTCGAGTCCGAGCTGTATAATGTAAGTACTCAGCGGACCTGCAGGTCTAGGCCTTGAGAAGTGATATGCGTTACTAACAAGTTCAGACACTGGAGATCACCTCCAAGCCAGTGGATGGAATGAGGATGCGGGTGAAAATAGCAACATAGAATCCAATAGAACAGCGTTCTATATTGGTCAGAATGCAGACTTCTAAATTTATGAAGCCTCATATGTAATACATATGTTCAGAAGACCGGTGTGGAAAATCTACAGCGTATTTTCCCACTAGGCTACATCTGTCCTACCTCATATTTGGCAGAACGCGCTCTTTGGCAATATCCAGAATTCTTATGAAGAGCGACAGCTGGGCATCTTCTGAGACATTTACTGCAGCCAAGGGCTACTGCCCAGATGTCAGATGTCAGTCAAGCGGAGAAACAGACCCGTTGGGCTGAAAAGACAAACCAATAGTCAAGGCTGTCAGGCGACTATCGTCATTATAGGGGTTTTTTCCCTGAGACAGCCAAAGAGCTACTCCGTATAGACGGTGTGGATTAAACACTCAATAGTAAAGTATTCTGAAAATCTATAGATAGATGTTGTCTCGTGACCACAAAGCAAGGGACAATTGCAGAGGACGAACATCGCTTAGGCAAATAAACCAAGATGCTATTCACGAAGAGAGGCTCAGCACAGAAATACACGCCACTATACTCGGTACCATATACGAGACTTTTGCACCTCTCCTCCCCGGACGGAGATCGGCTACGCCGATCACTCCTCACGCCAAGCAGTCGGGATTCTAATTCGAGTCGATGGAGTGAAACATGATCACTCAGACCTCGCAGACAGGGCTTTCCGAACCCGAATCCATAATTAGGGGGTGTTGATGTCGTCGGTGGCACGATATTGCAGGCAAAATATTTATTCCCTATAAAAGTGCCGATTCTCACGACTCACCTTGAATATATTTTCATACAATTCTCCCTCTTCCACCATCAATCACCAAATCACCAACTCAAATCCCAAGATGAAGTTCACTGCCGCAATCGTCGCTGCCCTGGCGGGAACCAGCACCGCCTTGTTTACCAAGGACCAGCGTATGCACCTCCAATCCCAATTCCGACTCTATACTCAACGTTGAAACTAACAATTTTCCCAACAATAGCCTGGGGTAAACGCGACTACGCCTGCGTAAACGTCTACCAAGGCATCCCCGACAATTCAACCGTCACCGCCGGCCAAACCGTGCGCGTCCGCTTCAACCGCAAGCCCACCGGCCGCTGCCCGGACCCGTTGACCCAGTACCCCGGCGACGCCTACAACGTCTGGCTGTACAATAACCCCGTGCGCCACCTGGACACCATCTCCTTCAACCAGTCTATCCGGATCGCGAGTGGTATTAATGAGACTGCCGGTGCTGTGGATGTTACTATTCCCAAGAACTTGCCCGCCGTCGAGGATGCCTCGCTTTGGTACTTGAGAATCGGCACTTCGCTTCCGACTGCGCCGCAGGTATGTTTTTTTCTTTTTTTTTTTTGCTTTGTTTTGTTTATCTTCAGGGGCTAATTGGTTATGCAGATGCCTACCTTGTTCAACGCTGCTGGGCCTTTCACGGTTATTTCTGCATAGATTATGGAGTACTTCGGCTCGGTTTAGAACTTGATTGGAGAGGCGGTATGGACAGGACAGGAGATCATTGGAAAATATGTATATTTAGTTGGGTTTCAGGCTTTTGCCTGATGAGAAGACACTATAAATAATTTCGTTCCCGGCTCGGGATGCACATGCAAGATTCCGTATCGTCATCACATCACAATCATCTAATTACGGAAAGAGACACTGAAGACCTGGTAGCCACTGGTAGGTCTAGCTTTGCGGCTTTCAGCATCCAAGTGCCCGTGTTTGTCAATATCAATGTATTGCCCCTTCTCCACAAACTGCATGGTATAGCCAAGGCCACCACCTAAGAAGGTAAAGTGCACTTGGGCGGCCTTGGCACCGTGGCTTTTGGGAAGCAGAACACCACCGGGACCCACCCATCGACCATCCAGTGCGCTGGAGATGGTAAATGTATGGCTTTCCTCGTCATTGTTGTAATGGATCACCCAGCGCTGCGCTTTATTGTTGTGCTGGGGACTTGCGGGGCTGGACACAAGGCTGTTGCCTCTGGCCGGATTCGTGAGGGCAGCTCCATTCTTCTCAAAGGTTAAGTATCGGCCCTCAGTGAGGTAGCCAACTACCTCTTTGAAACCTTCTTCAAACCACAGGGTATTGACATCCGTTGCGTTGCTCTGTTCTCCATAGGGAACATCCGGACGCGTCTGCTTGTAGCGAGCCTGGCAGTTAGATGTACCGGTGTACTCGCCCTTGGCGTTGGTATCCACGGTCCCGGCATCAGGGAGACTGGGGAGAGAGTAGTCTGGATTGTGCAAATCAAGCGCGTTGACTAGATTAGACATGTGCGTGCGTCTCCATACAACCATTTGATCAGTTGTGATATTTTCGTATCCCCGTGCAGTCAACCATTCCTCAACGAAGAGAATCTGAGAGTTGTGGTCTGCCCGCTCGGTGAACACACGGTTTCCGCGGGTCCAGGGGGAGATCATATAGAATGGTACTCGGAAGCCAGGTCCCGTAAAGATATCCGAGAACATACCCAAGGGGTCCTGCATCCACTCTCCCGGGGTGTCCTTAGGGGAATGGAAGGGGGTGACATGGTCGCCAAAGCCACCAGTCTCATCATAGCTGATCATCAGAAGGGTCGAGCTGTACTTCGGGCTACTGGTGACGGCGTCGACGACCTTCTTCTGAAGCCAGCCTCCATCTTTCGGCATGTACGGCGGGTGCTCCGACAGCTCCGCCGGCCCAACAATGAAACTGACCTCGGGCAATGTGCCGTTGGCGGCAGCCTGGTAGAAGGAATCAAGGCCAACAAACGACATACCCTTTTTAGCCAGAGGACTATTTTGCGGGGCAGTTTGAAATTGGTCGAACCAAGCCAGAGGGTTGTCGTCAAAGTTGTTTGTGTCTTGGTAGAGTTGCCAAGAGACTCCTGCCTCTTCATAAAAGTCATAGACGGTCTTCCACTTGAGTGGGTAGCAGTTGATGCCGTTGTCATCACAGCCTATAATTTGGTCAGATCAAAACTAAATCATATTAATAGAAGAGAGCCGACGATACATACCTGGTACCTCATTGTTGTCAATATACACACCTCCCTGGTCCTTGCTCTGGGGACTACCAGGAACGTTGATGGAGCCGCTGACCAAAGTAACCCGATTAGGATTCGTGGCAGTGATTTGACTTTCCTGTTTGTAGATTAGTCTCCAATTTTTGGAATCAAGTCTGGCCACGCACCTGATACATATCTCCCGATGTCCAACCTTCAGCAATAGCAAATTGAACTGGAATATCCTGCCGCTTCAAATACCCCCAGCTCCAGGGTGTGTTGTTTGTCACCCAGTGATTGTTCAACCCATAGTTGAGAGATTGCTGGTTCTCCTCGTAGCTGTTGCTACCCGCAGTCATGCACTGAATCGCATCATTCCAGTCGCCGCCTTGATATCCAAGATACCAGGGTAGTAAGGTCTTGGTCTTGTTTGATTGGGCCGGCTCGACTAATCTGACCAGGAATGTTAGAACTAGCTTCTCCCTTAGAGGCGGCACTTACTGATTCCAGACCGAGTTTCCGTCTGGGTTGACCTGGACATTGGGATCATTGAATCCCCGGACTCCAGGCATAGTGCCGAAGTACTGTGATTTAGTGAGCACGGTGTCAATGTTCCATAGTGCAGACAAAACGTACCGTGTCCCACGAGCGATTCTCCTGCATGAAGATGACGACATGTTCGATGTCTTTTAGAGATCCACCAGACACGAGTCCTGTTCCCAGGGCTATCGCGACCGCGATAGACGCTGGCAATTTGAAAGCCATGATGCTGTAATTGCAGAAGAAAATGAAGGGGAAGAATTAAGCTGAGAGAAGACTCGGCTACTTATGTGCCCCCCCCCGAGTCGACGCTGCAGAGAGGGGAGAAATTCGAGAAGTACAGTTTCATGTGTATAGTGTATGTACATATTGATGCCCCCACACGCTTTGGTTACATCGTGGTTTCTTCATGGCAGACCGTTCAAAGGAAAGAACGAATCGGAATTGAGGAATTTGAATACAGGGATGGGCTGGCATTTGAGTGAAGCATGCCGATCATGCATAAACAATAATATACTAATATGCGTATACAACATGTTGTTAGTCGAGTGATGGACGAAAAGGTACATGTGCCTTGCTGATCCAATCTGATATGCAGCTGTCTCCACGTGAATGCTGTTCCATGGTTCGACCCAACGCTAACCCCAAACACACTTTCGGCAGGAACGATCTTGTACCCTTTGGGCCTAGTCCAGGGTGCCACCCACCCTTTAGTACATGTCTTATTCCCTTATTTATGGCGTCGATGCCCTGGGAAATTACTTTTCAATTAATTATTTTCCCTTCGCTGTGATTGATCCAGCCGGGCACGTGTCTTGCAGGTCTCGCTGTAAGGTCGCATCACGTTGATCCCCGGCAGTAAGGGTGGCCTGAGGTCCTAGCGGGATGTTCTTTCCCCTCCGTACTTGACCTTCTTTCTATATAACGGTAATTTGGGCGATACTCCCAGTTCTTTACAAACAATGCAGAAACAGTACAGTCCGGCTGGGAAAACAGTCCCTAGTCCAGAGAAATTGGCCCAACCAATGCCGGAGCCATCGCAGCGGCCATGGCCGATCGCAGGCTGCTCATTGGTTGCGTGTTTCTTGATCGGCTTGGTATACTTTTTGCAATCGCCCATCTTTCTTGTGCCTTTGATTTTACCCGGCCACCTTCAAAACATTCAAGATGAGGCTTTCACTGCTCGACCGCGCATAGAGCTTCACCCGGAGGATCATGCGTATCGGGCGCCGGAGACTCAATACTTGGATTGGCATGTGACCTCGGGCTTGCGCCGACCAGACGGTGTATTGAAGCGGGTCTATTTAATCAACGGTCAGTAGCAGAACCTGGTATCACCGTGGTGGATCTGACCGGAGGATATCAAACTAGACCTATTCCCTGGACCGACGATAGAGGCCCGCTCTGGTGACACATTGATCATCACTGTTACCAATGCCTTGCCGGATGAGCTGATTGCGATCCATTGGCATGGCCTTCATGTGGCTAGTAAGCTTTTTCTTTCGCGATTTAAACCTTGGAAGCATCGGCGCTAACTCACATAGATGCCATGGATGGTGCAGCCGGGGTTACCCAATGTCCCGTGACTTCTGGAAGTAGCTTTGTGTATAATTTGACAATTCCATCCGATCAGAGTGGTACTTTCTGGTATCATGCCCATTCAGGGGTCTCGCGGACGGATGGCCTTTATGGTGGGCTGGTCGTGCATGCACCAGCTTCCAAATCGACCGTTCGGGGCTTAGCATCCCGTGGGCGCAATGGTCTGCACCGTTACAACTATGATAGAGAACTTTTGCTTCTCATCGGGGACTGGTACCATCGCCCTGCGCGTGATGTTCTAGAATGGTATATGGACCCTGGGAATTTTGGAAGCGAGGTAAGTTCCGAAGTGGTCCCAAACGGTGGAAAATTCTATCTGACAATGGTATTAGCCTGTTCCTGATTCCATGCTCATCAATGGGGCAGGGTATTTTAACTGCATGATGGCGGTGCCTGCTAGACCGGTGGACTGTATGGATCAGCAGATGAATAACGCATTTATCGACCTCGATCCTCATGCGACATATCGAATTCGTGTGGTCAACACTGGGTATGTCACAGGATATCAAAGCCAAATTAGACATTCGCTGACCAGTTGACAGATCTCTAGCCGGGCTGAATCTCATTTTCGACAACCATCTCCTGGACCTGCTTCAGGTGGATAGCATCGATGTGGCCCGCTCCAAACAGAAGCATATAAATTCCATCGGTACACTCTTTCCCGGGCAACGCATAGACTTTGTCCTTCGGCCATTATCACAGACATCTGAAAAGCAGTCACACATGACAGTTCAGTTAGATGAAGAGTATGACAAACTCGCCGAGCATAGCAGTTACTAGTTGCTAATGTTTCACCAGTTCCTTCAAGTACGCCAACCCAGCATTGACGCCAGATCAAACTTTCCCCATCAACTACCGTCCCGATGCCGTCCAGGGGCCTCCAATCAAGGCCCACCGTCTCGACATTGCAGAAGTACCTTCTGCGCCCTCCGTTCTCCATTCCATCCCGCCTGCCGCTCAACAAACGCACGTGGTGTACACCAAGATCCAGAAAATGGCCCGATATTCCAACAAGCCATTTGGTTACTTCAATCAAACCACCTGGAAGCCCCAGCAAGATCCACCCATTCCACTGGCGTCTATGCCACGAGCCAAATGGGACGCAAATCAATTCTCAATAACCACGGGGCCGGAACCTGTATGGGTAGACCTGGTAATCAACAATTTAGATGAAGGATCCCACCCCTTCCACATGGTACGAACCCTTCCCCTCCCTTACCTAGTGACGACAATTCACTAATTTCCACTAAGCACGGGCACCACTTCTACGTACTCGCAGTCTATCAATCCGAATTTGGCTGGGGCTCCTACAATCCCTTCGTTGACAAAATCCCACCACACCAAGAACCCGACTCGGATGCGTTGAAAAATGACACAGATGACGCCCAGGACCCTAACATTAATTATGATTCCGGTCTATACGACACATCGCGGGCTGCTTTGCGTGACACAGTCGTGATCCCTAGTCGAGGCTATGCTGTTCTCCGTTTCCGGGCAGATAACCCCGGCGTTTGGCTTTTGCATTGCCATATGCTTTGGCATTCGATGACGGGTATGGCCATGTTCATTGATGTGCAGGGCGACCCAGCGGGATTGGCTGCGCACGCTAGCAGCGGAGAATCATGTCCTGTTTGAGATTGACTCGTTAGCTTTGGCTTGGGATTAGCCTTGTTAGCACTTGCACTCCAGACCCTAGCTGCCCATCTGTTTCGGGTGTTCTATGGGATTTTATACATTCATGCGCAGCAAGAGTCTTGCATTCAAATTAACCTTTCACTCAAGAGTGGCATGAGGACGTCTCGGTCCCATGGTTCAGGACGTGCCGATTGACAAAGACGGAAATAAATTCCTGAGTTGACATGGTCCTCGAGGGAGATTCTGCGGGTCAGCAGATTGCTCGATTCATCGGTGAAGAGGGCCAATCTCGGGCGGCCAGGACGATCGGAAATGATGATATAGACGTTTACATTTTTCGCGGAGTAAGTTTGAGAGAGCATCTGCTCATGTTGACTCTGCTGACGTGGATTTGCAGATATGCCCGTATGGAATTTATGACCAGAGAGAGAACCCGGGGAAGCCCCATGGAAGATCAACAACACCCCTACGAAGTTGGTGATCGGTATTCGAACCAATCCGAGTCCTAGGCGCAAAAGTGCCACTACATATAAACCCCAAGATTAATGAAGTGACCATCGACATAGACACTTCTATACGACATACCCGCATTCCCGTTGTCTGCAATATGGACGTTTCTTCATGAAGTTCGTTTCATGTCCACGGGTTCCGTCTCTGCACCGAAAGCTGCAGCATGGTCTACGGTACATTAAATGACCCGGTTCGACACTTTGCAGGATACGGTGTGCTCTAGGACTCTAGGTCAACCTAAACTAGCCTTTAGTAATTATTTTGGATTCAATCAACCTAGAACTATTGCGAAAGGAACCGCTGCTCTTCCGTCAATCGCATTTCCTTCTAGCCAAGCGTTGCTACGACTTCCATACGTATCAGCCTTCACCGTGATCGTTATTAGAAACATGTTCTAGCAGTGCTGCATGTAATCACGAAGCAACATTATCAATTACAATTGACTTAAACTATACCAAAATAGCAAAAGTATTGAATTTGTTGACGGGTTCGTATTCACAGTTGCTCTGCCGGGCTTTGGATTGGTAGAATGATATCTCTATGGCTTGTCAGGCAAGGACTCAACCTCCCGCGATACGGCGAGGGGAGGGAACAGACATTGGCGTTCGGTAGCTAGCAGCTACTTGATATACATGGGCTATATCCATAACCCTGGACTCAGGATCGTCATGGCATATTTGCACCAACAGCGCTTTCCGCCGCAAATTCCTCTAGTCAAGTATTCCGGGAGGCCAATCCTGGATGCAGATAGGAAGACATGTAAATCCTTGATCAATCTCTCCAATGCGCGCATCAGGGAAGTCTTGGGGCATGATCAAGCGCTTGCCAATAAGCAGTAGCCGAGGGAGGACGCTAAGTCCGTGCCTGACAAGGAGGATGTTGAGTCCGTGCCTGACGAGCAGCACCTTGTAATGGCGATCGATCTACGTTGTGCCTGCTATGAGGAAAACAACCAGTATCGATTCGACTAAGATGAAGTGGACAAGAGGAGAAAAGAGAGAAGAGGAGGGGAGCGGAACTATCTACTGATCTGGACCCACATCGGTGTCCGCCTTCCGGGCACCCAACACCTTGAGTCTGTACCTGACGAGCAACACGTTGAGCCTATGCCTGACCAGCAAAAGGTCAAGCCCACGCCCAACCAGTATAGCCCGCGTATCCTATCCTCCAGTATGCGAAGTCGACGTGTTGGTTCGTTTGAGGGAGTCGCTAATCCAGCAAATCTTCTTTCCTCATCGCTGTCATCGTTTGCGATTGTCATTCCGCTAGATTCGTACACTCTCTCGTCCGTTGCGGTTGCTGAGGAAGCGACAGCATCGAAATTGGCTTGTCTAGTTCTCTCGGTCGGTTCTCTGCTCAGTTGTTGGTTCTTGTTCTCATGGAATTGCTGAGACCACCATATCCAATATAGGAAGATGGATGAAGGAAATCTCCAGTGGAGATGGATGAATGGGGAGAGGAAAGTATTGAGAGGGTCTTTGGTTTATATGGTCAACGGCGTCTGGAGTCGAAGGTGGGGTATTCGTAAGTCAGAGTAATGTAAGAGAAGTCGAGGGATGGTTCGATATGCTATATGCAGTTGTAGCCATAGCATCATGAAAGCCTTTAGAAACTGAGATGACCTCTCGTCAAGCAAAATATAAATATAACCATCTCGGTCTGGGATGCCCAGACCGGCGCGGAGCTGCGGGCATTTAAGGGCCATTCCAAAGGCCCAGTTTTTGGATCGGTTTTTTGGAGCAGTTATTGATGATGAAGTACAACATAGTCTTTTATACTGATAAGTAGAAACTCCTAGGATCTAATGGAATCATTGACCGCCAAGCGTATTAGAAAACTAGACTGTAAAACAGTATAGATTACCTGATCTGTTACTATAAAGAGCGGATCTTTGTTCAGCACTTGACGTCACTCTCACATTACCCCATTGAGAACGGAAGGTTACTCTTTATCTCTCACCATTGCAGATTTCATCTGTCGTTGTGCTGGGTCTGCCGGAGCGCCAGACTAGGACGACCCATGAGAAAAGATAAACGATCGGAGCCAAGTTGACCAACAGTTGGGACAATACTAGACCTAATGACCCGAACGCACGAGTCAACCTGGTTATCGACGAGGAGCTGGGCTTTGTCGTGACCAACGGCATCTCTCACACATCAATCACCTCATCTTCAGTTGTGATCCTATTCCTCTAAAATGACGACCGAAATCCCAGCGAAGCTGATTCAGCCGTCTCGACATGTGGTTCTACCCTTCAACCTGCGTGAAAAACGAACTTTCCACCGCGATTCTGCTCAGCTTATGCAACTATTTCCTGACACGAAGAGGATTCTATTTGATAGCTATTTCTTGGTGTTTTTGCTGGGCTCCCTGCCCCCAAAGCCGTGGCCGCTGACCATTGCCGGAGTGCAACCATATTTCACAACGGACCCGAATGATGAGGGTCCAATGCCATCCATGAAACGTATAAGCAAATCGCGTCTTTTTGTAGACGCTGAAATCAACGTTACCGACCTTCCACCCTCTCAAGTTGACAATGCATTTAAGCTCGTCTTCGATTTCTTTACGAAAGCTCAAATCTCTATTACCCAAGTCCAGTACTGGGGCAATTTTTTTATGATTGTACTGGAAATTGAGGATACTGATTTTACTGAAGTACCCCGTTCGATAGGCTGCTGTACCTGTTTTTATCTGTTTGATAAGGAGGTACGATGACCGACACAAGGCAGGCTCACAGAACCGACTGCCGATGTTGTTGATAGTAGCAAGTATGATATACTGCATCCCGGCGTTATGTTGAGCTCTGGTATATGTTCTCCCACCGAACCTGGGTATCTTACTACTTCTGATGTACTTGTTGAGGACTCTAACTCCGGCGAACGGTATATCGCTGTTGCTTCCCATGGGTTTCCACATGGCGGCAAAGTTTTTCATCCATGTGCTAGCGGTAAAGAGATCGGTCAAATCATTATGGAGATTACACACACAGGCATCGCGATAGCAAAATTGCATGATGATGTCCCGTATGTCAATGACACTTTCGAGAGCCCTTTTAACGGAATACAACCTACCCAGTTACGAGATTTCGTCAGTGCTGACAGCTTGAAGCCTGGTGATACGGTCTATATGAATAGCCCTTTTGTTGGTTATTCTGAAGGTATCTGTGGACCTCACACCCGTGAGCGAATTCCCTGTACTGACCCTAGCCAACCTATATTCGAATGGATCAAGACTCGCTGGTGCTATATGGGTCAAGGGTCCACTGATAGTCTCCAAGATGGTGCTTGCGGATCTGCAATCTGGAATAAGGATGGAAATGTGAATGGGTTCTTCCGTTTTGCACCAGCATCCGGTCACTTTTTAGACTGGTCTTTCTGTGTCGGAGCTGACCATATCATTGAACGTGGTTCTAAGATTGTGCACTAGTCCGGTCACTGACTTTCTTGCTGTTGCCTTTGTATCGCCTTGCTATTGAAACTACACTTCTAGAGCAGAGAGATATGATATGAAACCAACTAGAACTGATTTATCAAACGTTATACCTACAGGTGTATATCTCCCTCTTTCCGCATTAGTGCTCAGGCCTTGCCGCTTTTTGCTTGAGTACAACTGAGCACGCCGAGGATTGACACCTACACTCTTGCCCTGGAGATAAACTGAAGGAATTTATATTCACTAAACTAAGATTGATGAGTTCGTTCCTTCTTCTTTCTGATAAGCACACATATCGAAGGCCTTCCTAAGCGTATACCGTCAACCTTGGAAGTCCTTGACTACGGAGTAAACGGGGTGGCATTAGACAAAGTCATTGCGATACACCTAGTTAAGGCTTAGTTACACGCTTTTTCTTACCAATCATTTATTTTGACGCGTACGGCGAACCTCCAGGAACCCCTACCTTTCTCACATTCTCGGGCTGTGCCATCAGTTTACCACAAAGAGGCTCGAGAGTCACTTGTTCTCCTTGATTTGCCCAATTCTTCTACAGCGGCTTTCGGATCTGTCGACAGCATTTCTGTCTCCTTCTTCCATAAACTATCCTCTTCTCCATCAATTCCTACGCACCAATGGCAGAAGGAATCTCATCAACCCAGCTCCCGACCGTTCCGCCGACCATGCGTGCCTGGGTACGCCGGCGACGCGGTCCTGCTAGTGACACGCTCGAGCTGGTCACCGACTATCCAACCCCCGACGTGCCCACAGGCTCGTCACTCGACGTGCTAATTCGCGTGTCAAACGTGTCCCTACAGTCCAGCAGTGAGGCGATAATGAAGATACTGCCTATACTGCCTTTCACCAGCCCGTGGATCCCGGAGATTGAGCTTTCCGGCGTGGTAGTAGCCGCTGGCGGGGGTGCACCGGCAGAGATGCGCGATCCGGGCTCACACGTCATTGCCTTTCAGAACATTCCTAGCGCCGTGATCATGGGCCACGGCGTGCTGGCAGAGTATGTGCGACTGCCTGGCAGCCAGGTCTCACGGATCGATGACGGTATTGATATGGCGTCGGCCTCGGGCATTATCGGGGCTGGTAGCACCGCGCTCAAGATGATTCGCACAGCGGGTGTCCGCGAGGGTCACACGGTACTTGTGAACGGAGCTAGCGGGTCAGTCGGTTCGGTGCTTGTGCAGCTGTGCAAGGTGCGTGGTGCGAAGGTGGTCGGCGTGGCTAGCGGAGGTAACGAGCCCATGGTTCGTGGTCTGGGTGCAGATGAGGTAGGCACAGTTGTCCAACGTTGCATAAGAAAATGAGTCGTGACTAATATACAAATAGTTCGTCGACTACCGTGAACATGAATCGCTGCCAGCCTACCTAGCGCAGCAATATGGCGACAAGCCGTTTGACTTTCTGCTTGATTGCGTTGGCACGCAGGCACTTTTTGTCGGCTCCCCGGCTTATCTTAAGCCCGAGGGGGCTGTTGTAAATATCGGCGCGTTCGAGGGCATGTATGCGATGGCGCGCAATGCCTTACTTAACACCTGGCTGCCCACCTGGCTGGGCGGCGTGCCGCGTCGCTATATAACGTTCAGCACGCCTCCGACATGTGACGACGCAGTCTACTTAGCACGTCTGATCGAGGAGGGCCGCTTGCGTATCCCTGTGGACTCTGTCTTCGATATGAAGGATGCCATAGGTGCCTACGAGCGCATCGCTACAAAGCGTGCGCGTGGCAAGGTCGTGGTCAAGGTACATGACAACTAGGGTGCGACTTGCAATCATTAGGGTATAGCACACCCATAGGGCCAATTAGTGCAAAGTGGGGTTGGGCCGTGAAGAAAGTAGCCAAATAAGGTCGAAGACAAACGCGCGAACGAAGCCTTGATCAGAGAAAGAATAAAAGGGGATTTCCTACGACTATGGACTTTCTATTCTGCTTTGGTGACACGCATGAACATTTCGGTGTCTTTGATAGGAACCCAGCTAGTGAGAACTTTCATGATATTCTCAATTAGACTTGAGAATGAGCTCACGCATGCTATCAATAAGGGCAGACTTGGGCGTGTAGACTGTTCGGTAGATGATATATCCCCAAGGAAAATGGCATAGGGATCGTTGAGTTAGGAATCGATGGGAGCAATGGGCATTTTAGTTGAGATCAATGTATTTGAAATTAATGGGTTGGGTTGGGTGGCCGACGCGCTTACGCCTCGCTTACCGATTACATTAGTTATAGGAAGGTCAAAGTACTGGAATTCATAAGTACAGTTTGTGTGCCAGGAATAATGCCTTAGGTAACGCCAATTCCCCAAAAGAGAAAAAGGAATGGGGTTATAAGAATGTCCACAGAGAATGAATATAAACCCCGAAAAAAGGACTAGAGAAGGAAAGACCAGCTTCACCGTTCCGGTTCAGACGTCAAGCAAGAGTCTATGAAGCGGCGGCCCACTCGACGACCTCCAGAGCGCACATGACAAGTACGAGGGTCGAGGGGAGGATCCTGGAAAGAAGAAAAAGCCATGTTAGCAATGATCAATTGAGATTGACAGCCAGACAGTGTCTGTCTATAAATAGCAGGGATGAGGACATACCAGACAACATAGCTCTGGAACAAGAGTTTAGACATGGCGCCAACATAAACATTATTGATCTGACAGATCTGCGCCAACTGCAATGCTGACGGCGCACCCGTAAGTAGGAAGCAGACGATGATGAAAATCGGATCGTCGAGGATACTAATCGGCACAAACTTAGCCATGAGCGCCAAAATTGGAGCCATGATCAGAGTCGGAAGAAGCATGCGCGCAACAAGTGAAGCGATGATAAGCTTGCGTTCATCGCGGGGATGTTCCACGTCCGCCAGCGCTTCTTCGGGGATTGTATTGCGCGCAAGGTTCGCGCCAAGCACGACCAGGATCAGCGGCACGGCGACCTGTCCATTCTGCTCAATTGCCCGGGTGACTGAGTTACGAAGGAAGGTGCCGTCGTCAAAGAAGAGGCGCTGAAGCGTTGGGACGGAGGCAATGATGATTGATACTAGCATTGCCCACAGCGGCGGGTTCATGAAATCCCATAACCCATTGAGGAAGCGGCGCGCTCCGCGAGTGGTTGCTGCGATGCCCTTTTGGACGTTTGGTGGGAGGCTTGCGTGGAGGGCAGTAGCTTTCTTTTCTCGCCACTGGCTCAAGCGTTGTCCCGATTTACGCAGAGATGCTTTGCAGCGCTGGAAAAACGTTTTCTCGGCTTCTTGAACTTCGCGCGCGGTGACTTCGACATCCGGGAAGTGGAGAATGTCACCTTGAGAGCTTTGGCGGGGGAGGAAGGGGCCGGTGGGTGGTGGTCCAATTACTGACGGTGTGTCGTCTGAATCTAGGTCGTCTGAGTGGGCGGGGGACATCTTCGAGTAGGAATAAGTTCGCGTTGACACGGGTGTTTGGTCGCCGGATGGGAACGGACGGTCGGTGTTTGTCGCGTCGTGGACATGGTGTAGATCCTCCGAGCTGCGTGTTCTGACTAGCGGTTCGTCCGGATCTGTTTGGTCCGGGTTGTCGCTATACAGCGCCTGACCCTGCTCGACGATTGACTGACCAGTCTCGTCGCGCTCCACCTCCTCGAGGTATCGGTGCTTAGGCGCTAAGAGAATGTGGTATCCCCAGCTCCAGCGTACGAGTTGACCAAGCTGCTGGAAGATAAGCAGGTATAGAATGCCGCGTGCGGCGACTTCGTCATCGTTGTCGTTTGGGAGCTGGTCCCAGTGGAGGCCTTTGAGGGTCTGCGAGAGCGATATGACGAGCGAGATGGGAAGAGAGTTTGAATTGCCAAATACCTGTAAAGAAGGTATCGTTAGAATTAGATATTCGACTGTCTCAATGGAAGGGCTCATTAGGTACCGCCATGGCAGCCACGAAATTTGACTGCCGCTTCTTGAAGCGGCAACATTTTGCGACAATGAAGGAACAGAAGTATGAGACGAAAGTCTGGACAATAAAAATGACCGGGATGATAGCCAAGTCCGTAAGCTTTTCAGCGGTTAATTGTGAGCCCAATTTGGTAAAAACTGTTGACCACAATCAGCTATGTCATAGAAATATGTGGCGAGAGCAGGAATCCATACTAAGGCAGGGGGTGAACAGAACGACATTGAGGTTTGCCACCAGCTTCTGAGCTTCGGCATCAAACATGCCCTGACGGGCGGCAATATAACCAGGGAAGCTGACACAGACGACTTCCAGTACTGCTGAAAAGACGAGTAGCACTAGGTGAAAGAATGGGGGATGGCTTTCATGAGCGCCTATGAAGAAGCGGTCCATGCCCATTGGGGCCTGGGCAATAGCATTGACATTCTGAAATGATCGAGGCGAGTTAAAGATGGCCATCAGTCAAGAAAAGATTGTGGATGGGAAACAGGAACAAGTGAAGAAGTTAGAAGGAGAGAAGGTTGGAATTGTTGATTTAGATATGGAAGCTTGGCGGTCCTACGTTGATAGTTCTGGTCTTATCTCTTCCCAGTGTTCATTGGATTAAGCGACGTATGAGATATTAATGGCAAAAATACTTGCAGCTGAAACTCAGCTATTCCAAGGTTCTTGGTTTCTATTACTTGACTACGCCACAACACTGATTGACAGTCAATCAGCCGAAAATGGACGATCCAAGCTCCGGGCCTTTTTGCCAAAGCTGAGTCATTGCATTATCACGTGCGCGTAGCGTACGTCACCAAGGGAGGAAACCTTGAAATAAACTTCGGCTTAGTCAACTAGTCCTTTTTGGGCTACTTCCTTCCATACTTCCAAGCACCGGACACAGCAGAGCCACTCTCTCCTTTGAGACAGCAGAATCACTCTCTGTCCTCCATAAGCAACCCGTTTTGAACAGAGTTGATCTTCGAAACTCCTGTCATATGGTCCATATTCGTTATCCAACGCCCGAAATTATACTCAACACCCTCCTTCTCCAGGGGGAACATATGGAGGCAAAGATGCCAAAAAGCAGAAATGAGGTTCTTGTTGAGCCCATGGCATGTGAGCCCATGGCATGCCATATCACTGACGGTGTTGAAGATCATTTCAAAAGGCCCGTGGCCAGTCAAACTGGTCCGTTTGGGATTCCTCATCGGAGTTCGCTTTTATTCCCTTGACTTTGAGGGAAATCGGTCCTTGAAAATGCTACGGCTAAACAGCAGAGAGACAAGAAGTCCCTGGAGCAGGGCTTTAATGCCTCCAATTTCAAGAGAGATGTGGCCAAGTATTATTCTCTTGAGTTGCGTTCAAATGGAGGGTGGTCTTATCTCGTGGACATCAAAAAAGCAACCCTGTGTAGCGTTGTCTACTACAGAAAGTGAATATATCGCAGAAGCGCTGGCAGTTCAGGAAGCAATCTGGCTATCACAGCTACTTTCTGAAATTGGTATTGACGGCTTCCTGGTGAAGCCAATTCCAATTTACGCCGACAACAATAGAGCAATTGCGCTTGCTTCAAACCCTGAGTTCCATGCAAATACGAAACACATTGCAATCCGTTTTCACAGGCTTAGAGAGGATGTTGCTAATGGCTCGGTAAAGTTCGTGAAGACCCCTACTGCCGAAATGGCGGCAGATAGACTGACGAAGCCACTCGGAAGAGTCATGTTCAAGCGCTAGATTTCACAGATCGGCCTTTCCGTTTATAACATGGGTTAGTTTCATGCATATATTAGCAGGCATCTGGTTTTGTCATGGTGGAATGGCGTTTAAACTATGCTGGAACTCGACTAATTGTTAGTCGTGGGGCCCATCTCGTGCCACCAAGCTTAAGCCGCGATGAAAGATGAGATTGCCCCAGATGTGTTCGGCTGGCAAGAAATTGCAAACATGCTGGCACATGATAATCCAAGCTCAGGTAGTGGTGAATTTCCCCCTTCGCCCAAGCTTAGGAGAACCTCCGACCAAAAGGCAGCACACTTAAATCGGAGGCTTTGATCTCCCAGAAGCACCGCTCTGCGACTTCGGGTCAGAGCCCTCGCCCTGATTGAGGGGGCGACCACCGAAGCCAGTGCTCGATGGATGGACAACTCAACGCACACGGGATAGCTGGATCCATATTCCCATGCACAACCAATCAACGTCAACCTCCGGAAACCAGACAATAAAAAAGCAAAGCGACGTGAATTCTCTCACCTCAAGTGAAAGTGAGAATGAAGTGAGAGTGAAATGAGAGCATATCTCTTCTTTTTTATCGATTTTCTGTTGTCATTCTTCTCTCATGCTCTCTTTTCTCTTATATCTCTAATAGAGTATTCGCTAGTCAACCCAATCTCCACCTCGAGTGGCTTAAAGATTTTTTTTTTAAAGTGAGGGAGAGATGGCGCTAGCATTCCGTGAATATCCTATTGGATAGACCAGGATAAGGCGACGGATTTCATATTGACATCCCCGATGCTAGTATTGCAAGATTTGGCAGAACGTGTCTAGGTGCGATCGACAAGGCCGAGAAGGTCAAGGCCATGAATAAAAAAGCCCATCACCACGTTAAGAAAGGGCGTGGGTGCAAAGATTGCTTCTAGAGCCTAGGGTATAATGGGCCACTATGCCAGCAAGCGGCCGCCGTGTTGTCGACAGAAGCACCAATGATCCTCCTCTAACCCAACCACGCTCAATGCACGTTCTTCTAACTTAACTAGTACTAGTAATAACCTTACAGTAACTATATGGTAGTCGGAAGTTATACATAGAGAAGTCGTCTGCACAAGTTAAGCCTTTTTCCGCCGTCTACTTAGAAACATAAGAAGACTATCAAAATGGCATGACATACTATTTAAGAAACTTAGCATAAGTTTCAATCGAGTCGAATGCTCCAGAAGCCGATCGCATCCCGAGCTTTACCGTAAACATTACTGCATAGCCTACTCCGTAGTATCTTACTTGTACAACACGCTAGAGCCTGGGATCGGCAATGACGCATTTGGGACCATCACGCCACGACCTGGCCTGTGCTGGTAGCCAGATTAGGAAATATGCACGCTGATACAGTTTAGTTGACATAGATCGAAGCGAAAAAAAGGTGATTAAACTAAATGATCAAGACCCTAACATAGAGAGAAGGACTGGTATAATACAAGACAGACAAACATGTAGGTCAAAAGGCAATAACCTACTGCTGTCGGCTGTGCACCGGGCTGTGCAACATCATGTACGTTACGCCTCACCGACAAAGCCCAATTTCTCGCCTATCTTGATGCGTTGGCCCTTCTCAATACTCCAGGTCCACCCATCACTGGGGGCACCTTCCGGCCGGCCGGCATCAGTGGACTTGTGATTTCCAAGCGGAGCTTCAAACACAAGTACAATAGAACTGCCGAGTTGGAACCCGCCCATCTCCTCTCCACGTTGCAGTGGATGTCCGTTAAGTGTGCGGCTGGCGTGGCGATAAGTCGCCTCCACGAAGCCGGGATATTGCTCACCGCGCTTGGCAGCCAGGGCTGCTGCCAAGTCTGCAGCGGTATCAGTCAACAGGCTGTTTGTGCGCAGCTCCGAGTCAAAGTTGATTTTAATGGAGCCTACATTAGTAGCTCCGACCGGAGTGTAACTGAAGAATCCCCAGCGCCATCGGCCGAGGAGTGCAACTCGCTCGTTGAGAGTGAATAGACCGGGTAGATGCTTCTGCAGATAGGGCGAAACCGAGTACAACTCGCCAGCAAAGTGGCGGCGGCTCTCGACCACCCAGGGAGCGGGGGAGTGGAAACGGTGGTAGTCACCGGGTGCTAGGTAGATCACAACGTAGAACAAGGCATGGTTGGCTGCTGCTTTGGGCGCGTACCATGGTATTCCATCGCCGAGGGCCAGGTCCTCTTGCACCAGCATTTCCGAGGTTGCTTTGGATGCGGTTGAAGCATCCAATGAAGCACGTCCTTTGGGAGCATCAGAGTCTCCCGAAAGGAAACTCGGCAGAGTGTAGGAAATCCCATTCATGCGCGCAAACTCCTCATGCGCATCCATGTTCTCAACATCCTTTTGGTCTTCGTTCAGGTCCTGGTCCGTGAGTCGGTTGCTGTGGTCGGCGTTCGCAGGCGTGGCTGCTCCTAGAAGGGCATCCAAGCTGTATGTCATTCCCTTGACTTGCTCAACCTCGCCCCGTTCGATCATTCCAAATTGTAAGATTCGGCCGTCGGAGGGCGCCAGCAGAGCACGAGGGTCGGGGTCCAATGGTCGAACGCCAGGCTTCAGCTTACGGTAGAAGAATGCCGCCAGATTCGGGTAGGTGTGCAGGTCGGGTTCGGCGACCTCATCAAGGTTGACGCCAAAGGCCCAGGAGTAGAGCTTGAATCCAGGAACGCGGAGGTAGTAAGGAAGTTCGATTTCGTTGAACCGACCCCATAGACGCGACATGGCCTTCAGGGGCAGAGTGGACATGATCTGAATATGCCATGGCCCTGACAGACTGATCCTCGGACGACGAGGTGGCCGTTTTCCTTCTTCCCATTCATCGCCGGCTGCATCACGAGCCAACCGATCCCGCTCCGCACGTTGTGACTTGTAGAACGACAGCAACCCTAGTAAACCGATTCCGAGTCCGACTGGGATGGGATACCATTCGACCTTGGTATTGCGCAGAGCAAACCCTAGCCTTGAACCAAATCCTCCTCTATTGTTTTCGGAGTTATTATCCTTCTGGTATTGTCTCCATGATTTAGACGAAAAATGTCGGAGGCTGGCTTTATGGCGGGCCGTGGCCCGAAATGAAAGAACCTCCATCGACGCAGCCCCGATCCTAGGGCCAACGGAAGGGCAATGAAGGAGAGGTGAAGAAGTAAAAAGGCGCTTGGCCATAACTTTTAATCCATCGGCCTGGAGCGCTAAAATCGACCCCTAAGCCCAGAGCGTGCTTTTTTCCGAAATGGGGAAAACAAATTGTTACCGGTTGACCGCCCGGCAGAATCGCACGTGGAAATGCAACAGACTGTCTTTCTCTCTGCTTTGTATATCCAAATACATTTCAGTATAAATCAGCGTTCCTGCAACTTGATCTTTGCATCTTTATCATCTTGCATAGTTCTTCCCACGTCCTTCCTATCTGCTATAGAGTCTCGCAGAAAACACCCGTGGACTATCAATTGATGCCAGATATCAGCAACTAGATCCGCTTTATATTGGCTTTTTAGCTTGCGAACAACCACAGATCTGAAGCAATGGCGACAGGACTACCATCCCAGCCTATAGTAGAGGGAGAAACACCCAGAACAATCACGCTTCACATACTCTGCCAGTCTCTACCCCCTCCAAGCCGGTTTACACTCGAGAACGTTCCACTCTCCTCCACAGTCGGACAGCTCAAGAGCCGGATCGAACAGTCTTTTCCGAACAACCCTCAAGTATCACACCAGAGGCTCATCTACCGAGGGAAGCCTCTAACCGTCGATGACGCAACACTCGGGGTAGTGGTCTCATCTATCGAGGTAAGTAACTTGTTTCTAACCCGCGCCATATGACCTATCCTAACTGAACGGTATTTATTTTGCAGGAAGGCACTGATAGTATGCACCTTGTGCTACCGCCTGAGCCAGCACACACAGAAGTACCTATTGTCTCTGAGATGCCGCAAGATTCGCCTTTCGGAAATTCTGCCCAAGCTTCCGGTTCCTCCTCCACATGGTTGGATCACTCCAATCCCGATACGTCGGTGCCTGCGGCCAGTGTGTCCTCATACTCTAGCATTCCTAGAACAATCGGTGCCACTTCAGCTTCTCCGCACATGATAATCAATCAATACGTCAACACCTCTTTGCCTAACCGACACTCAGCAACTACAAATGCACCAGAAGCTGATAGTACAGAATCATCTCAGCGTATTCTCACTTTACGACGTTACATCGAGGAGATTGAGGGACAATTGGACCGACGTCTCATGCCATCCATGGAGAGTATCATTCATATACGGAACCAGATTCTTGGAATCCAAGATGCACGGCCTGCGACACAGCTTCCTCTGCCCGGTGTTGCAGAACTGCTTGCCCGTATTCTTGATGTTCAACAACGCGCCCGTCTAATGGAATATATGCAGCAACAGCATTCGCAGGCAAGCATTCTAGCCCAGGCCCCTATTGCTACCCAAACAAATGTCTCGAACACGCTCGCGCCAAACTCCACTCAGCTCTTCATGCTGACCTCGCCAACGGGAGAAAACCTTCTCGTGAGACCAACCTGCGTAGCCCGCCCCAGAACGCAGCAGGCGGGCTCGCCCAATACAGCCCCTGATAACCAAACCGGCGCGCCTCAAGTACCCCACGCACCTCAAGCACCTCAAGCACCCAACCAAAACGCAGCGGTAGTCCAGAATGCCATCCGCCAAGCAATGCTCAACCAGCAGCGCCGAGGCAACAACGTCGAGCATGCCGGTCTGGCGCGACATATCCGCCGCATCTGGCTGTTCACCCGTTTGTGGCTCTTCTGCTACCTCACCAGCGCCCCTGGCACCTGGAGACGTTACATCTTCGTCAGCATTGCCTTGTTGGTAACATTCTTTTCCGAGACCAGTATCCCGCGGCAGTTTGCGACTACGATTATTGGTCCCATCCAACGACATCTCGAGGGCCTCACCCATGCAGGTGGCCCGGCAGATCGAGCCACCCAGAATGGAGCCAATAATGCTGCTGCGGAGTTCAGCATTTGGGACCAAATATGCCGCGCGGAGCGAGCTCTTGTTTTTCTTTTTGCGAGTCTAGTTCCCGGTCTTGGTGAGCGGCATGTCCAGGCTCGCACTGCGGCGGACCAAGCTTTCTTGGCTGAACAGGAGCGTCAGGCGCGGGAACGTCAGGAGCAGGAGCAGGAGCAGGTACCGGAACGGGAGCGCCAGGAACTGGAACAGACTCAAACTGGTGTGGCGGAGGGTGCGGAGAGTGCAGGTACTGAACAGGAGGGGATCTCAGATACGCATGCACAGTCTGGACAAGGAAACTGATCTATACCTGGAGGTACTTCTCATATTCTCGTTTATTAGCGATAGCGTCTTCAATGTAGTTTCTGCGATTGAACTCAATGAGGGCCAAATTGATACCCACAACAATGCCATCCACGAAATCAAGTGCGTAAGGTAATCAGAATGATGGTCTTTTTTTCAAGTCAGTTGTCCATGTCGTTTTGAGCTAGATGCTCCTATATCGTACATCATATAGTTCGAAGCAGCTAGCAAGAAGTCTTGGTTTCATCTCTAAGTTTGATATGTGTTTCTCTTACACTAGTAATAGATCATGACGGCTCAAGTTGCCGGTTTGCAGTCATTGTTCGGAGTCATATATATAATATAGTACTTGATGATCCAAGATGCAATGACCTCCTCGTTATATTCGCCACAGCCACGGACACAGCATAGTTGCGCAAATTCTTCACTCACAGTTTCGTGGCACCTACATTCACAGGTAGATCGGAAGGCAGAGCCATAGGACCCGTATTAAATGATTCTTCGCCATCAAAGTGCCTGCCGGAGTCTATATCAATATCTTCACTCGACATCAAAGGAAAGGAGAAGGAAGGAATCAACTCACCACCCACGCTCAGCACCATTACTCAAAAAGCTACAATCCCCATTAGCAACACAATCCCATCCTCCACCAACACCACGCCCGTTCCTCCACTGCGGCGGGGATCCCGACCCACGAATAAGCGTCGTGCCCTCGGCAAGCGGCTTATCACTCGAACTTTCTTCCTTATCACCGCTGTGTCCAGCACTAGCAGTAGAAGAAGTCCCTCTCCTTTTAAAGGTACTCAAACCAGCTGTGAAGACATTAAAGTCCTCTTCAGAGCTATCATCCGGCATGCGGCCCGTAAGAACCCGGCCCATGGCAATGAGCGGTGCAGCATGCGCGCAGATCAGGACGGCCTTGCTGGTTCTTTGGTCTGGTGGTAGCTCTGCTTCTACGGCGGAGACTTCTGCGTCGATGTCGGCGATTATACCTTCCAGGGCTGTTGCTAGGCGATTGTGGAGCTGTTTGATTGTCTCGCCGCGTCTTGAGGGGATGAGTAGGGGAATGTAGGTTTGACTGGTTTCTGGAATGAGGGTTGGGAAGTGGGTGGACATTATCTCGGAGGTTGGGTGGGACGGGTGGTCGAAGAAGTCTGTTGCGCCGAACCATTCTCTAGATTCTAATTAGCTTCCTGATAATGAGGTGCTTGTAAAGTGCTTCTTTTGTTCGGACGAGAGGGAAATGGTTGAGTGATTGGGTAGGACGGAAGTATAAGTATAAAGAAGGCATATTACTTACCCTAACCCATTCTCAATTCGTACGTCAAGCTCCGCATGCCGATCAATTGACCCAATCTCGCCATCTTGCTGGCTCCTTCCAGACTCGGCTGATATTCTCTTCAGCTCTTCAACGGACGGCTGGATTGTTTGAAGGCAGCGGTAGAAGGGACTCGAGTAGATACGGAATGGTTTCGGGTGGAATTGGGGTGCAGCAATATGTTCCGCCAGCTCGTGTGACTGGCGCACGCCATGTGAGGTCAATGCAGGGTCTGCTGGGTTTCCTGTCGGCGTGGGGAATTGGGCCCTGTATGTGCCTGTGCGGAAGTCAATGGTCCAGCTGAGGCGGTGCTGCCATAGTTAGGTCTATAAGCCCGCAGTGATGAGTGTATGCAGACATACCCCATGACGGGTCAGATATATCGTGTCCAAAGGCATGGCGAAAGAATTCTTGGGTTGTTCAACTATGTACAGTACTGATATTGTTGTTGCGGGGGAAAGGCAGAATACACTTACACGAGGGCGGTGAAAGTACACCTCGGTCCGAGCCAGGCTACGATGAAATCAGGAAAAAGTACAAAATTGCAGACCAGATCATCTAGCATTGATACGAGCGAACCGTGTACTATGCAAACCATCGAAAGTGCGGAACATGGGGTATTTTGTTCACAGCTACAAATTCCAGATTACATTCCAGGGTCCAGCCCAATAAAACCAACGCCATGCGAAACAAGTCAAAGCAAGAACTTTTTCTCAATTCTTTTTTAGAACGACTCCATCTAGTAGAAGAAGCCGAGGAGCTTGCCAGCAACGTGCTTGCGGCGAGCCTCCTCGTGGTCCATGATACCGGCGGAGGTGGTCAGGACAACATAACCGAACTGACGGGAAGGAAGAAGCTGGGTAGCCCACTTCTCGAGGTCACGGAGCTGAACGGGGTAGCGGGGGTTGATAACACCACACTTGTTGAGACTGGAGATATAACATTAGCTTGATGTTCCATGGAGACTGGTGAATGTAATCGTGAAACGTACCGGCCGTTGAGCTGGATGACAATCTTGCCGGAGCGGTGGTCATCGACCTCCTCGAACTCGCCAATGTAACCTGAGAAAGAAAGAATCAGTATGTTGTGAAGATTTAAAAGTCGTCAAATACAGAAAAAGCCATAACAGCGCTTTGGAAACGTGTAAGATCTTCGCAAATTAATATATCGGACACTTAAAAGGCAGACGTCGTAGGTTGATTGAGACCGGCCGCCTAGTTATCAGCCCGAATTTGGGGGGGACAAATATTTTCAAGATAGGTCATAGAAAAAAAAACGCAACAAGAAATGAAGACGAAGAGAAAATCTCAAAATTCACGTACCGTGCTTCTGCATGACAGCAAGGAACTTGACGATGACCTTGGAGGAAGGACGGATGAGGACCTGGCGCTTGCCAGCCTTCTCGGCGTTGTTCATGGCGTTAAGCGCATCGTTGAGGACGGAGGTCTTGACCATTTTGACGGTTTAGTAGAATCGAGATTCTCAAATCGTAACGTTTAAAAGTAAGGATTATGAGGTATCTGTTCGACGAAGGCGATTTAAGTCAGCCACCACTAGTCTTCGAGCGCAAAGAGTGCCCCTTTTTTGCATTGCAAGGAGTTCTTCAGCCCGTGCCGAGTTGGGAGATGCGTATCATCTTGGCTTCCTGGATCGCGATTCCTGAGAATTGTCTATAATTCAAAAGGAAGCAATCTAGACAAGATGATTGCATCCCCAGACTAGCTGGAAGGCTGTTGTTGGGGGAGGATATAGCACATACCTCGAGAGATGGTCGTCGATGGATGAAGCGGAAGAAACTGACGATCGGTGAAAGTTTGGTTTTCGGGTGGTGCGCGGGTAGGGTTTGTGTGTGAGGTAGCCCTTATCAGAGAATGGTCACGTGGCGATAAGCTACTACATGTTGGTGCCTGAACCTTCCAAGGTTAGAAGGCATCACTATTCCCCATAGTGAACTGTACCAAATAACTACAATGAATAATATAGCTGGAACTCCAGATTGTACCTACATAATACAAAGTATAGAAGCAAAATAAAAAAGCTCGGAAAAAAAAAAAAAAATCACCATTAGAAGATCAAAACAGATAGTGATACAAACATCTTTACTCCTACTACTACTAACTCATCAGCAGCATAATTCACTTATTCCGTCCGCGGGCAAAGTTCAGATGGGCGGTTCTATACATGGGTTTCCTGCTTGATAGCATGGTTGTGGGCAAATATCGGTGTATACGAGGAAGGGAGACGAAATCAGGGACAGCTTTTTCATGACAATGACTCTTTTCTGGAGGGGGTGACATGAGGGGAAGGGATACATGAATGGGGAGCACAGTAGAGGGGGAGGGGATACATGAATTCTTGGGCTACATGATTCGCAATGCTATAATATGCGAGGGACGGGGTCTTGTCTAATTAAAAACAACATAGAAGGGGATTGGGAAAGATGAAAAGGTGAAAGGGTTGTATCAAGAAGAAAAAGGAAAATCAGACAGGGCCGTACAGGAATTGGGAAAGGTTACTCATTCGAACGTGTGTCATAAGGGAATTGAGCAGCAGCAAAGGTATGGGAGAACGGAGTTCGCGACCAAAGGGAGTTATGGGAGGGGAATCCTGTGCTGGGAAATAAAGGGGAGAGGGATTTGAGGCTACCGCCCAAGCGTTCAGTACGACAACGTCGAGAATAGAACAGCTATCCTGCACACATCAGGAGCACCGATTGGGTGTGGGCTCAAGCGACCCTAGGACCTGTGGCATTGAGGCCAACAGGCCCGATGTGGGTGGCAGATGCTTTGGCAAACGGAATCGGACCAGAATCACTGGCAATCAACCAGGTAAGACATAATCACGGCTTTACGACATACCAGCGCCCATGTTGATCTGACGCTTGACTTGCTCACGAGTCCAGCGGGCAGTCTCAATTGTGCGCTCGCTGTACTGTCTGGTTGTGCGAGTCTCTCTCACGAGGGAAGTGACCCAGTCGTTGCGGAAGTAGACAGCGAGCTCTCCGTTGGGGAAAGCATCAGCAAGATCACTATTGAATAGTTAGTATATTTAATCGAGAATAGAAGCGGGCAAGACATACCCAATAACACCCATGGCAGATCGCATCAGACCTTCGCTGCGGTTGCTCTCCTGGGAGATAATGTGAAGAAGCTGGAAGATAGACTCGATGAAAGGCTGGAGTTGGGTGACTGTGAGCTAATTAGCATTCTGAAATCGTATGTGTGGAGAGTGGAGAGTAACGTACTGGAAGGAGTGCCCTTGTAGGACAGAAGAATACCACCCCAAGCATCCATGATGCCCTCACGGAGAGAAACAATGTAATCCACCATGTCGTATGGGAGGTCGGAGCTGGTGGTGACGTTGGAGGCTTGCTGGAGGACCTGGCCAACGACCGCCAAGTACGTATCAAAGTTGGTTCCGATGGCCTGAGCGATATCGCCGAAGGTCTCCAGAATCGCAGGCTTGAGCTGGTTGGTGGAAGTCTGTTTGAGAAATTAGCATTAGACGTCAACCTCTATATATGAAGGAATAATCTTACCTGAAGAGTCTTGAGCAGGAGGTTCATGAAGGTGTCGCAGTAAGGCTGGACCTTCTCGTTCAAAGCACGAGCAATGTCACTGACCAAGCCGATGGCCATAGCGCAGAGGCCGGGCTCTTCCTGGTTGCCCAAGGCGTTGTACAGGAATGGGCTGAATGAATCCATGTACTTGATGAAATCATCCTCAAGAGCACTTGCAATAGCACCAACGGTGGCGAAGATGACATCCGGCACGCTCGACTTTGCGCCAAGGGTAGTCAGTACTTGAAGCAGCACGCTCATAATACGGTCAGCCTGAGGCTTGATCTCGGCCTCGAAGCGCTGAACGATGGCCAGAATGACACTGATCAAGCTGGTCTGCATCTCCTCGAGGAGAATACGGTCCTCAGCGCTAACGACCTGCTGCTGCATGGGAACAGTGTGCTCAAGACGCTGGATGATAACATCTGAGAGTTTAGCAACCATGGGCAGGCTATCGTTAGCAGAGTTCATAACAAAGGAGTTGAGAACTTCATATCCAGCAGTACGGAGCTGGTTATCGGCGTCTTGTCTGTACGGGCGTTAGATCAAAGGAACCAAAGGGATATCGCTCAGGGAACATACCGCTCGGTCACGGTCAGTAGGGACTTCACACTGTCTTCAAAGTGCTTTGAGAGGGGGTTGGTCTGTGAGCCATCGTCACCAGCGAATCGGTCTGCGACGTTCATAAGAGCCCAGCAGCAGGAGCTAGCGATCTTGGGGGAGTTGGCGAGGCCGTTGAAAAGACAGGAGATAAGCGGCTGGAGGTGGACCTCGGGGTCGAGGACCTCGGGGCAGCAGTCGCACACGCGACCCAGGGCGTAGGCGGTGGAGTCCCGGACGGAGATAGAGCTATCCTCCATCATGCCAAGCAAAACAGACAAGGCCTGTTTGATCAGAGGCTCTAGAACACTGGGCTCGGGGCCTTCCATGATAGCGCCGAAAGCAGCGACAGCAGCATCACGGCGGTGCCAGTCCTCATTACGGATGTTCTCCTCGACGAACGTCACGACGGGCTGAATAACATCACCCTGCACACACTGGGCGTAAAGCTGCATAGCCTGGTAGGCAGCACGGGAGACATTGTACTCATCATCACCAGCGTCCTCGTCCTGTCGGCACATAGATTGCAGCAGAACGGGAACAACTTCGCGGGTAGCAACGCGAGCAAATCCGAAGAAAGGACGAGCCTCAACACCCTCTTGCTGAGCCTAAAGTAACATAATATCAGTACATGGTCAAGGTCACTCAGCCTTATGCGCTTGATTACCTCAGCGTTGTCATCCTCGATAGCGATCTCCTCCTCGCAGACTGTGCACCAGAACTCAATAGCCAGCTTGGCGACTTCCTCTTCCTCGCTCTTCATGCCCATGATGCTCAGGCCAAACAGAGCCTTCTCCATGTAGAAGCGCATCTTCTCGTAGTAGGATCCCATGATGCGGTTCAAGCAGCCGAATGCAGCAGCCTGCACACGGACCTCATCGGCCTGGGTGGCCTCGCAGACGACCTGCATAATATAGTTACGCTCTCCCTCGTTATCCATGTTGGTTCGCACGAAATCGACAGCATCACTAAGCGCGGCGATAGCAGCATAACGAACATCCATGTTCTGCTCCTCGCGCCGAGCACCCTGGACGACCGCGGTAAGGATAGCATTGGAGTGTTGTGTCAGGCTGGCGCGGAGATCAGGATCTTGCGACTCGCAAATGTAACCGATGGCAGTGAGAGATGACTGCTTCAGTGCGTCGTCTCCAGTAGCGACATTTTGGACAAGAATGCCCATCAATTCGGGCCACTCACCACGCGGCAACTCGATGGCGGCGATGGAAACAATCAGTGTAGCGGCGGCATTTCCGGCGCGAGCATCGGGTGACTGCAGGGTCTTGAGCGCAAGCTCTTTAACCTGTGACTTGGTCTCGGCGTTGATGCTCTGGGCCCATCGAAGCTGCACCTCGCGCAACTTGGCTTGGTCCCGGAAAGTGAAAGCGTTCTTCAAAGCGATACCAGCAGCCACACGGATGTGAGCGGGGCTGCTTTCGTTGGCGAGTTCTTGACCGAGGGTGATGAGGTAGGCAGCCTATCAGGCGACAAAAGTATCAGTATTCGGAATCCTGGGGAAATCTTTCATGGCTCGTGACAGGACGAAGGGGGGTAAGAGGAGACACATACGAAGTCAACCTCCGCAGCGTGGGCGAGTTGCTGTTCGGCATTGCTACGCTCTGCCGCATCTGGCGCGAGGGTACTCTGCAACACCTGACGGGCGTCCATGATGTGCAAAGAAATGAGGGATGTGGGGGGGGAGAAAAAAGACGGAAAAAAGAGGTGGAGAAGAGATTAGAAAAAAGACTTTAAAACCCCTCTGGACCCGGATCAATCAAGGGTTCGACACTCGCTGATCACCACGATAGAAGCAGTGGTGGAAAGAGGATTTCCTGTGGAAGAGTGGGAAGAAGGGACGGGTGTTTTTGTGGATATGACGAGGCGGCATGCACTAGGTCTTTCCGCGACGAGAAGCACAGAGAGGAAAAGGTGCCTTGAGTGCACGCCCAGATTTCAACACGCAATAATTGGGTGGAAAGGTCTAGGGGAGATGGGGATAGCTGTAGAAGTGCAAGATATGTGAAGAGACTAAAACAAAGATTCGAAGCACGAAAGACCACAATGGGTGAGGTTCTACGGGGGGCAATCTCTGATTGGCCCTGTGGAGGGGTTAGTCATATGCACGTGATCTTCTGCCTCAGGCTGGATCCCTCCCTTGCAGCCAAGAACTTTTTATCAAAAAGTGATGCATCTGAGAAGATCAATATTTGCTGTTCACCTTGTGTTCGTTGCATTTTTGTAGCTTGGTGACCATAAAAGTTGTGCCCGTTGGATCTTAACTAGAGACTTAACGACATAAGCAAAGGATTATAGGTAACTAGCTTATCCCTAGATATAGAGAAAGTCCTCTATACGGAGTACGGTTTATGACTTTTACCACCATTTTATATCGTATCTATTCCGTGCTACTCATTATTCTTTTATAGTACCGAGAGAGGGATATATCTAAAAAGATATTGCCAGAACATTGAAGTATTGCTATCTTAAGTTAACCAACTGAACACTCTCTTAACTATTCTCACTCGAGATGCCAAAAATAAAGTTCACCATTCTCTTACATCACTTAGCTATCAACTTGCTCCCTCTTCGCCATGCCATCATTTTGTTTCCGTACCCTGCTCCTTCAATCTTATCAATCGAAATGACTTCGCAGCATTCCTGGTTCCGGGGCCCCGAGCTCCGTAGTATTGTCTTCGATACCCCGCCCTCTACCTGGATTGTCCTCAAGCGCGTTAACGAACACGAGCACCGAAAGGATCCCGACCACTCCGCTGTCTCCTATGCTTCCGTTAAGTACCAGTGCAAAAAAAGGGAGATGCTAGCAAAATCGCGTTCGTTAGGATATATAAGCAACTGCCCCACCTCGGCACAGAGTTTGACGACTATGCTACCCGCGCTAGGCAAGCTAGGGCGTGGACTCCGCCCGAGCTAGTTGCATACAAGACTCTTACCGATAAGCAGTCGGAAGTCACCCCCCGCCTCCTAGGATATAGGGAAGAGGAGCAAGAGAGCTCTGCTCTTGTACCCGCTGGCTTCCTGGTCTCGTTTGCGTGGGAGCAAGTGCCTGGTATTCAGCTAGGGGATAGTCTTGGCGCAAAGGTCTTCTGGGATATGACTGTTGATCAACGCCACAATATTCGGGAAGCCTTTAAGAACAAGACAATCCGGTAAGTTAACGCCTCTATTCTACGTTATCTATAATAGATATATACTAACATCGGCCCCTTTTAGTGAGACCGAAATTATTGGCATTCGCCCTTTGTTCTCTGGTCCCTCGCATTTAGTTTGGGATTCCGCCTCCGGTAATCTGTACGACCCTCCTTATCAGTTGCGCTGTGCTTGCTCTAAAGGGATTTACTAACGTAATTCACAAGCGAGCCGCCACCACAAGCGACCCGCCATTTTTAAAACACATAGTAAAAGCGATAAATTACAACATGACATTTCAATAACAAACGCTCTTATTTAATTTCATCCCTCGCTGATAGCAATTGATAAGCATTTGCAGTATCATATATCAATTTTGAATAAATCGAGAACATGCATTGTTATGGTATCGAAAAATACATCGCTGAACCCTAGAAGTATATATATCTCAATCACTGATTTATTAAATCCCCCCATACTCTAATGAGTGGCTAGATATCACGAAAAAAAGCATTATGCTAGAAGGAAAAACTCTTATAGACAACCGTTGTTGAAATATCATGTTGTAATTTATCTCTTTTACTATGTGTTTTAGAGATGGCGGGTCGCTTGTGGTGGCGGCTCGCTTGTGAATTACGTTAATTTATAGCCTATAGTTAGTTTTATGGTCGGCTTCCGTCAGTGGTTTGAGGTTAAGCCAACTCCCTGGAATGAGGCAAAGTCCTACTGGTTCGACCTAGCTAAGCCACCCCAAAGGGTCAACTGGTCTGAATGGATCAACAACCCTGATACTTCTAATTGGAAGTTTTAGATAGCCTATTTTCTTTGTTTATGAGGCTTTGCTGCTTTGGAGACAATCCAATAAATTCAAATCCTGAATTTGTGACCATCTGGACTTATGTCTGGACTTATAAGGTGTCGAAATATGACAGAATTCAGGGTGTAAAGCAAGGTATGGTAAGATCAATGAATATGCATAACTAACTGACAGAAATCTGACTGTACGACAATGTACGGTATAAATGAGGGCAGCAGCAATACTATCAACGAACTAACTATCAAAGTATAGGTGCACATATATCTTGGAAGAAGGGACGCTAGAAAAGCGCAGATGAGTCTCACTGCCAGCAACTATAACATAAAGCTCCCTCTTCCCCCAACTGATTTAGGATTACTTGAAGTTCTTATCCGAAGTTATGCAGGTCTAGACCGGGAAGTGATGCAATGTTGATCTACCATATCCCGTGAATGACGCAGATTCCCATATAACAATGTAATCCTAGTTCTCATTATTTTCTTCATCACTATCGAAGACTTCCTCGTCGTCGTCATCTTCCTCCTCATTCCCCTCTTGGTAATCCTCATCGTCTTCCTCGTCCTCGTCCTCTCCCATCGCAGCATCCAGGTCCAAAACCTCGTACCGCATAGCATCCCCATACAAAACACAAATAGCGCGCCGTCCCCTCCGTCCATTGACATCAACATGGATAGGCCGTGCCTTAGGGCCATGTAGAGCAAAGATATGTATAAGGACACTCGCGTGGGGGGATTCAGGCGAGAGATCTAGTGTCGTGGGCGGGGTAGTAGGTTTTGGAGCGGATGGCGTGCTGTCACATTCAATGTAGTCAAGGACTACAGGTAATGGGTGGCTTGCTTCGCTTTGGGGTTGTGCTGAGGCGGGTTGGAAGGGGAAGTTGAGGAGATGGGAGGATCCTTCTGTTCGATAGATTGTTAGATTGCATACAGAATTTAGAGGAGGAATATGAAGTCGATGTGTGAGTGACTTACTGCTATCGCGCCAGAGAATCATGAGTGTGTCGTCGTTGACGAATTGGAGTTGGCGGACTTCGCCGTTTTGGAGGTCGAGGGTTGCGAGGGAGGTACTTCTTGTTGAGCTGACGCCACCGACTGAGTCAAGGACGATGCGGTAGATATAGACTATTTGCGTGGGTATAAGAAACTGGATTTGATGAGTGATTGTATGACGAACCTTGATATTTTGATGTGACTGATCGGGTAGCGACATATACTGAGCAAGGCTGGCCTTCTATAGCATCCTGTAGCGAAAGTTAGCTTTAGAACGATACAAAAGTCATCAGTCTTAAACTACCTCGTAACAGAAAGTTAGATCGGTAACCTCTTGGTCGCAATCAGAGTGAAGCGTCAAAGGCGAGCGATGGAGAATTCCTCTGCGCTGAGTTAAGGCAATCTCTTCAAAGACCTTCTCAAACTGGATCCCCAGACGCTTCGTCAAGTCATTGAGCTTAGGCGTCTCTATCGATGTACCATCGCCACCCCTGTCCCGGGACTCGCGTTGCTGTTGAAGAAGTGACTTGAAAGTGTCGAAGAACGAGCGGTCGTGGCCATCTGGAAGCCACTTATCAGCGGGAGGTGCAGGAGGCTGAACAACTCCGATCATAGGAAGTTGGCGGATGAAGTTCCGCAGCGCACTCTTGGTCAATGCGCCTTTGATATACTTCACAGTTGGAGGGACATCGAACAAGTCTCTCTTCTCCTGCAGCTCCTCCCGTGTCTGGGACAAGGGCTCGCTATTAAGAACCTGAATCTCGTAACGAAGCCACCTAGAGAAAGCGGTGAATTGTCCCATTTCCTCGTTGGCATGCGTGAGAACAGAGTGCGCAAGAAGATGGAGACAATCAAGTGTCTCCACGATGGCATGAAGCTTGGTCGTGTCCAGCCCAAGGACATCACTTAGCTTGTGGAATTTAGACAATCCAACCAATCGACTAAGAAGTACCTGACTGCGTTCCAAGGCTGGAAGGAGACATTCGTGTGTCAGTCGCCGGATATTCTCGTAGCCGCCCAAGACAGCTTTATCCCATCTCTTGTGGCCCTTTGTCGTTCATTAGCACACCATCTCCCAAATGGGAAGGCTCACTTACTCTTTCTCCAACAATATCCGTGAGGAATTCTTTCATGGGCTCGAAGCAATGACCAGTGACCACCAGGTGATAGATAGCAGTGATAAAATCACACTGGCATTTTTCCTTCAAGTCCTCATTGACACTACGCAAGAAGCGCGCAGGAAGCTCCTGGGCATTCTTCCACTCAAGCTCAATCTGCCGCTGTACCTGACCAATATATCGGAGCAAATTCTGAAGCTGAGTAGTCTTCGACGCAAGAAGAGACAGATATCTCCCAGACTTCGTAATAAAGCGAAGGTCCATCGTGACAAGCTCAAGCGGACCACGAGTATCTCCCTTCACCGGCGAGGTCAGTAGAGCATGCGTAGAGCTCAACGGGTGCGAAGCATGCCGCAAGATACGGCACGAGTCAGGGATACCGGGAGAGCTTCCCACAGGGAAAGAGCCAATCTCAAAGCAATCAAAAATACGCAGGTGGACAGTGCCATCGCTGAACCCGACGGAAAGCACATCGACCGAGTCATTGGTATCCTTCGAGGAATGGAAGATGGCGTCGAGGGACGCGCGCGAGCTGAAAACGTCGTCCTCGCCTCCTGTTGCAGGCAGGGTGCTCAGCTTCGGCAGCGAGCTCTCAATGTCCAGCAAGGCAAGCTCCCTTGGCAAGTCTGCTTTGAGCATGATAGCTGCCTTGGAGGGATACACTCCCGGAGCTAAAAGGTCGTCGATGGAGACCTGGCCCGCGGATTCATGCAAGTGCCGCTGTGCGGCTTTGCTATCGGTGAAATTGACACCCCACCCAACGCAGGTCGTCTTGGGTGACGGGTTCTCAGTGGGATTGGGTTGTTCCTCTTTCTGCTGATAGGTCTGATAGTTGTGCACCGTCTTCCCGGTGTACGAACTGATGATGCGGAGCGAGCCATCTCCACACGCGACAGCGAGAAGGCGACCTGGTGTAGCATTAGTAAATGAGCGCGCGTGAAATCAAAAGCAAGGCGGGTAAGATCCGATTATAGGAAACGAAATATAGCAAAGCCCAGCGACAAGGAAATTCAAACTTACCATTCCCCTTCCACGCCATCCCTCTAATCTCGCCATCCTCTTCATCCTCGCCTAGGTACGGATCTCCACCGAAAGAACCCCCGAACACTCGCTGGCCATTAAGTCGGAATACGCGCAGTTCCTCGTCCTCGGTCGCCAGCGCTATCAGGTCCATCGTGGGACAGTACGCCATGGCCTGCGCCTTGCATTTTGCTGGTAGGGACTTCTCCCCGACGGGGGTCAGTTGGGGGCCATCGGCTGTCATTCTGAGTGTTTCTTTAAGATAAATTGCCCATTCAGCCCATTATTATTCTTGAGAACATCAAAGGTTCAAGAATTGAGGTGGCGCTGTTCTTTTTGGCTGAAGCTGTTGATCGCGGGTGGATGGATACAGAGGGATTCTTGGCGCGTGTGTTTGGTGTTTCGTCCGATCTGTTGATATGGATTCACCAACGTCACTATGGAGTTTACATCAATTTGATTCTACTATTTACTAGATCGGTTAAATTTACACATTGGAAACTTGCTTTTCTTTCTGGTGTATTTCTTTTGATATAATGTCTCCTCTATTGAGAGCTAAATGATACATGTACGAAGTACATAAACTCCATACCGACGACCAGCGCCAGTAATATAATATAAGAACATGAGAAAATCCTTGAGAGGAAGTCTCATCAAAACGGAACCCCATCCATGTCAGTCTGGATCAGATTCTTCAGGTAACTGAGCTCATCCATCAACTCCTGCATAGTAGCATTCCCCTGGAACGAGGCATTGCTACGACGGGAGCGAATCCGCTCAAGGGAAGTTTCGCTCATTTTCAACTCTGTTTTCGGCTCTGCGGCAGAGCGATATTGCTCCAGGTCAGAGTCTCTGGAAGCTTGGGAGAGTAGGATCGGGGAGCTGTCGGGGCTGCGCGACATCGCGAAGGCCTCCATTGATTCAAGGGCGCTAAATAGGGCAGCGTGGCGCTTGGGATTGCTCTCCACTTCATCCATGTTCTCAATTCCCAACCCGGAAAAGTCGAGGCCGGGTGAGGACAGAGACACGGTGAGTTGAGGGAGATCGACGCTCCAGGGTGAATTCGGAGATGAGGGTTTGGAGTAGACAGTGAGGTGGGGGGTATTAGGGTCGGTATTGGTTGCGCCATCGCCAGACTGCGAGAGGTCTGGTGTTGTCCATCTTTCGGCCGAAGACTCGTCCTGGTGATGGTTGGATGAGGCCGATACCATCGATTCGCGTGGGTTGTAGTCGGTTTCAGTGTCGGTACTCCACCCAGAGAACCGACTGTACTCAGGTACAAAGCTAGAGTGGGCAGACTCGATTGTCGGTGCTGTCATGCTGGAGAAGTAACTGCGCGGGATCTCGTCATCCATCTCTCTGTCTCTCTCGTCGATGGCGCGAACTGCTTCATCCATGACCGAAGATGGCGTATTTGGAAGTGTAGGGAGCCTCTTATCTTTGGTATACACGGCAGTTGGAGTAGGCAAGTCACCAGAGCAAGTGATATCCTTCAGGGCTTCCCTGATCGCATGAGTTTCATCGGATTCGACGGTGTTTCCGTTTGTTGCGCTGCGAGAATGACTGGTTTTGGGGGGATCCGGACGCGTCTGCACTGTGAGAAGACGGCCCGGTGCCGGTTCCCCAGCGGGTGCTTTCATCGCGCGACGACTTTGGATGGTGGACAGACCAAATTTGTCAGGAGGGCTTGAAGATGGAATCGCAACTCCCGTGTTGACCTTGATTCCAGGGACATTGCGGTGATTCTCAACAGCCTCTTTCTGCTGCTGTGCTAGCTTAGAAGCATTCGCATGTTGCACTGATTCGAACCTTCTATCCGCCTCAGCGGGTTGCCTTAAAGCAGCTAGAATGGCTCGTGCTCTCGGAGGAGACATAGAACGTGAATCTTTCTTATGGCCCTTCCGAGGAGCACCGTGCGGCTGAGATGCACTACGGTGGATTCCAGCCATCGGAGATCTACTCGCAGACCGTGCTGGGCTCGGTTCGCGGCAGACTGGTGCAGATGTCTGAAGACGCACAGACTGAGGCTGGGGCGGTGGCTTCCGCGGATTCATAAACTTGTCTTCGGGGTTCATGGTCCGGAGATGTTCGGATTTTTGCGAGCTGCCACTCACCGAGCGTCCATGTGAGCGGCTGTCAGGTAGAATGATAGGGACATTTAGCACATTCATTGGTTGCCCTGGAAGAAGCGGGCACATTGTGGTCATAGGCTCTGACTCGTTGTAATACTCTATGTCATTATCGAGTAGATACTGTTTTCCTCGTTAGCTCTTTCATCTCATATGCTTGAATTAAGCCTCACATAATACCAGTAAGTACCACCCATCTTCAGACCCCCTGTTCGCCATTGGGTCTTGTCTGGTCCATCACCTATCATATCCGTAAAGGTATGGCATCCTCTCCAGTTTCCGGGACCGACGCGCAAATCTCTTTCCATCGCATATTGCTTAGAGAAATTATCCCATGATCCGAGCAGCTTGACCGACCGGACCTCTGGTCTGGTAATACTGAATTGCGGTCAGCGCATGGAGGTATCAATTGCACTGGGCGCACTCACAGTAAAAAAGTCATGAGGGTAGTCGAGATCATCGCAAGGTAAGACAGTAAGAAAAAGAGTAAAAGAGAGATCGCTGAGCAAGGCAGGTAATAGCACAGATAAACTGAATCAATCAGAGAAAGAAAATGCACCACAATGCAAAATAAGAAACCAAAATGCTAAAAGACAGAATACCAGAATACAAATGCAAAGCAACAAGAAGGACGGTCTATAGACCCTTGGACCTCAGCTGAAAGCCCGAGCTTATAAACAAAACAAGCCCCGGAGCTCACAGACACAAAGCGAACTCCACAAAGGCGGTTCTATAATTACAGCCGGTGGAAACACGCTGTGCCTGTTTCAAGTTCAAGTGACAGGTCTAAGAATAAACGGTTTGTTTCAGGTATGTTCGGGGCAACGCCGCAGAACAACATGCCATGGCCTGGACACACAGGGCCCAAACCAAACAATCAAATAGGCTGGTTTGCTTCAGGAACCGCGAGGGCGCAATTTCCCCGACGCTGTGCAGGGCGACAAGGTTGACCAATGGGGGAGCAGAAGGAGGATGCGCCGACCACTCGGGTTGGTGATGTTCCTGCGTAAGGAGTCCGGCGCTAAGAGGCCTCTTAGCGCTGCAGGGATGTTGAAACAAGGGAGGAAAATGAGGTTGAAACAGTCGAAATAATTGGAATGTAGAAATGATAGAACAAAGTCCTGGAGGCTGAAAATGAGAAAAATAGAGAGAAGGGGGTTAGGAGACGAATTCGAGGTTTTTAGGAGATCGGCGCGCGGAGAGACTTGACGATCATAAAATTTGGCCGTGATGGGGAGTGGATCTGGAGGTGTTCAATGATGCGTGCTGATCTGAGAAATTATAAGATTGTTATAAGAAGAAGAAGAAGAAATAAATGTGATCTCAGATTCTCGGACTCTCGGATTCTCAGACGGTGTGGCTTGCGATCTTTCCGATCCAGCCCCGTCATTGTAGTTCGTCGATCTTTATGCAAGGTACCACTTTGCACAATTAGATTAAATAGAGCAATAGAGCAATTATATTGGTTGGATCAATTAGGCTGACTCGATTGACTAGATTAACAGATTAGTTGCTACCGAGTGCATGAAATGTACAAGATCGCAAAGCTGCAAGCTCAGCTCTAATATACCGAAGTAAAGCCTTCAATATCTCTCATTGGTCGTGGAGATTAAATTAAATTCAGCTAACAAACTTATATCCGAGAATTCTCCACCCCCAGCGCTTCCTCCTGCAGATGATATGTCACTTTTGCACTTGCAGTCAAAATATGCGATTGGATGGGAAATATATAACTAAGAAACCAACCACCTAACACTCCAAATCTCGATCCAACTTCTTATGAACAGCCCCGAGCACAGCCTTCAAAATCCCATAACCTTCCAACCGCTCCCCAGCCCGATTTCGCCAAGAAACAGTATCGACAATATCTCTGAGATGCAAATCATGACACCGGCTCCCAAGGTCCTTATCCAAAACCTCCAAATACTGCCGAGCCATCTCGTCATTCCCAATCTGGAAGAATTGAATCCCAACCTGCCACGGAATAGCACGACAAGCAGGGCCATCCAGAGTCTGAGCCGTCTTGATAATGATACTCTCGGCATCATCCGTAAACACCCCGTCGGTGATCGTGATGATATTAATCGGCTTGACCGACTCGACCGGCTCCAGCTCGATTGTCCTAGTCAGAATTCCCGATACGTGCTTCTGCGCTTGTCTCTCTGTCTCCTTTGCTTCCAGCAGCTTCGTGTATGGGTCCAGGATATCAAATAGTCGAGCCCCGACTCCGGTTCCGCCAGAGGGTATGACGGAGGCGAAGATCTCGCTTACTAGTTCCGCGGTTTTGATGTTGTGGTATCCGCTGGCATCGAGTGTTGGACGTCTGGAGCCCGGGCTGTAGTTGTAGTTGGAACTGGCACCGGGAATATATCCGCTGGGGCTGGGCCTGTAGCTCGAGCGGACGTTGTAGGGGTAACCGTAGGAGGCGTAGTTGGACCTGTTGGGGTTGGGCTTTGGTCGGTGGTTGATGAAGTAGATGTCGATTCCCTCGCTGTCATATTTCGTGCAGATTGGCGCGATCGCGGCGATGGCTTCTTTGGCTTCGTTCCAAAGCTCACCTCTCATGCTTGAGCTGTCGTCTACCAGGAAAATAGTATGGAATTGGCCGAGGAAGGCGTACTGGGAATCAGAGTCTGGTTCGGAGGGGGCGCTGATTCTGATTGTTGGAATTTCTTCTTGGTACGGTGGTGGACGGTCTGACGATTGGGCATTTGATGTATTAGGGCTACGGCCTCGGGACCATGATGGATGATGCGTCGGTGTGGTCACTGTGGTCCCTGTAATGGCTGTCCCTGCCTTGCGCTCTTTCCGATACCTTGAGAACGGGTTCCATACACCCATGGCTGAAGATTGTATGTTGAAAATGAAGTGCAGGTGAGGAATATATGTCAAATAGACTTGTCTTAGAGACTGCTCAGATATCCTGAAATGGTATGCCCCAGAAGGATCTGACCCGGGAAACAACTTCTTTATATCTACTGTCTGCCATCAGGGGCTTAGCTGTGAAACTCAATACACAAAGAGTAGTATAGGGTAGAGACATGGACCAAGGCACACTTCTGACCAACCACGGATTTACGCCCGACGCATGATCAACACACGGACATTAACACATGGGATTCAATCTAATAGTCCACCCTAAGTGTATCAAAGATCGAAAAGGCCATCGCCATCATTAATTGCAAGGCAGATTTGGCTCACTGCAGCCCTATTTGTAATTAACAGGGATATTGAGAGATGCTCATTCGTAGGGCCGGGCAACCGCAGGGTAAGGTAGAATTATCGGGCTCCAGCGTCACTTTTTAACCAATCATATAGAGTGTTTGAAGAGTTTTATAGTGCACAGACAGTCCGGGGGCGTGCTTTGTGACAGATGGCGGAGCGAACACAGCCCCGCATACGGCGATTCTCTGGAAGAGGCGCAGCGTAGGATGAACGGGAGACCAATTGTTCTACCTTTTCTAGGATCTTATTGGACGCTATGATGGATTATAACAGAGGATCTAATATTTCCTTTGACTGTTTGTTTGATTGTTTGTTGGAGACACTCGTGAGTCATAATGATAACCGAAACATGAGGCGCTAATCCCAAACCCTAGGCTGTAACACAAAAGAAACTGACAAATTGTCGGCATAATAAACAAATATGAAAAAGAAAGACAACTATATCAGTTGTTGCTATATACCCCGAGGCAAGTATTTCCACTATGCGTAACTAGATCTCGCCTCGTCAGATCCTGATCTGAAGAGTGAGAGTCTTCTTCCTCGGTCACGGAACGTAAAGCTCCAGGATAATCAGCGACAATATCTGCCACTGCCAGCGCCTGGTCGATACCCATCGTGTTTCCAATCATTTGGAGACACTTGACTACCCAACGGCGCAGCCGGTGTTGGGGGTTCTCAACAACCCCAGCCACAAATAGATGCCAGAGGAGCATAAGGCCCGCAACGTAGTGTTCAGGCGGCGGGAGACTAGACACCCTATCTACCTGGTAACCGATGAAGTGAAAAGGAACACTGCGACAGATATCCACGGCTAACCGCCGGATCGTCGATCGAAGTGTCCTGCATTGGATACGCAACTCTTCGGACAACGAAGTCATAGAGGAACTGTCGGATAATCGCCGGACACGGGAGAGAATAATTTCGCTGACGATGATTCGGGCGCTGCGGTATTGGTTCCACGAATGGCAGACCCAGGCGGAGGAGTACATGTGGTATTGATCGTCGTATGGCGTTATGCCTCGGAGTCGCTTTTGGATGGAAAAGTCGAGGGGGGAATTACATGGGTGGTATAGTTGAATTCGGGGGGAAGAGCTGCCAGCCAGGCAATTAAACTGGCTTCGATAGCCGACGCTGCTGATATGATCTCCTGCTCGTTGTACATATTGGCGCAGATGTCTGCGCGAAGGTTCGATAGTTTTCCAATTATCGTGAGTAGACGATTGCCGTGAACTTGTTCTGGCTGAAGAATCATCGCGATTTCCGTTTGTTCTATTAGTGACTCAGGCACGCGCACGTCTCTTTGTAGGCAACTGATGGTCTGTTGAGGGGTTAGCTTGAGATCGAAGGAGTGATCGATAGCACTCACAATCTGATACCGAAGGTATAAGAACAAGCGGAGATCGGTGTCAGTCTTAAGCTTATCAGCGCCGCGTAGATCTAGCAGGGCCATTGCTCCACTGATATGGTTGGTCCAACTCTCAATCTCTTTCGGGGCTCTTGACGAAATCACCTAGAAACAGGGAGTCAACAAAAACCACCCGAGGGGGTGAAAAATCCCGTACTTCATATTTGGCAAGCAGCATGACAGCGCCTAATGTTTGATTTGATTTCGCCTCCTCCATGTCGGTTAGAGCGGCATTAAGCAATCTCAAAGCGGATCCATACTCCCGGTAGGCTACATCTCTAAGCGATGGTAGCCCTCTTACCCGGGAGAGCATAGCCATGGCAGTAGCAACTACGCTTGCCTTCATAGCTCTGTGACTCGGAGTGCCTCCGCTCTGTACCAAAGAGTCGGAGATCATCTCAGTAGTCAAGAAACTGCCGGGGATAGCAGTTGATCGCAGGAAAAAGCAGATTGCTTCATTTTTGGTGGTTTCGAACTCCTGTGACGGCTGGACCTCCACTGGGCGATTCCCGAGCTGGCGCATAAGATTGATATGCTGTGGATCAGAGTGGAAGTCCAAAACCTGCCCCACCGGCGCGGTACTAAGCCCAGACCGTACAGGATTCCTTTCTGGGATTGCACTGCGACGCGATCGTTCCACTCGTTTCCTATGTGTCGAGGCCGCAACCGCTTTTCGGATTACTGATTTGCTCTCGTCGCGGAACATTAGGGCCTGTTGGTCCCGATATCCGGAGCAGCCCCGCTTGGCCCTGGTGCATTGCGAACAGGCCGGTTGGGCTTGGTCGCACCGAATCTTCCTGGACCTGCACTCGCCGCATCCTTTGCTTGGTTTACCACAGTATACCATGATCTGCACTTGACAAAGGGTTGTGCATTGTCACTGGTAAAAGAAGAGCCTAGGAAGTCATTAAAAGACGTTGGTCAGGCCCCTGTAGGCTGTGTCTGGACCGCGCTTGACCGGTTCGGGTATGCTTTGCGACAAAATTTCTGCCTTGCGTTTATTACATAAATTACGGTTCGCCACCCATACGTGAGCGATCACCTAATTGTAAGGTGTTTTATCGGTCCTTACATTTTTGTTACAAAAATTACAGACTCTCGCAAGCGAGTCCGCTACAACGGATGTACATTTTACTAGGCAGGCCATACAAAAGGTACATGCATAGATTCTAGTTTTTAGTACTACATTTTCCATCTAAGCCTTAGTATAACGGATAATATATATTATATAGCTCTTACTGTATGGCGGAATATCTTATAGAAACTGTGTCTTTCATTCCATTCTATAGGTTGTGACTGTTGTCAAGGTAGGAGCGGTACCCAATTAGGAAGGCGCACCTAAATTTTCAGGTGTGGCGGGGTACAAGCATCGATTGCCAAACTATATTGTAGTGGAGTAAGAGCGATGGATATAGCATATGTACTCATTTGATCTAGATGGTTCTATCAAGATCTCTAGCGAATAGTATTGATTGTCTTTCTGTTACTCTCCGTCCTCTGATTTTCATCCAAGTCCGAAAAATAAAACAAAAGGCTTTAGCGTCAATTTATCTTTTATTACATTAAACATCAAAAGCTCAAGACGCGTCAATGGGGGCTTGGGACTTGCAGATATTACCCTGCTCGCTTCGTTGGAGACTCAATTCCAGTATCTGCCTGATTCACCCGCTTGCGATTTCCCCTGAAGAGTACGCTCGAGTCCGGATCCTGCTGCAGGAATCCAGCTGCACCGGTTCCATCATCATGCCATTCGCTGAATTCCCACTGGATCGAAGTTGATTGATCATCACTGACTCCCATACCACGCCGAGTACGCATCAAACGGCCCAGGCGGCTCCCTTCTACCATCTCTTCGAACCAAGGAATTCCTCCAGTTATACCGTGCTGTAGACTAGTTGAGATGTCCGAAGAATCAGTAGTCGATGGAACAATGACCGAGGATGAAGCGGTCTCCGAGGTTGGTGCCAGATCAGATGAGGTCGAAATACCGGCACGGGGAGCTTCCTCGTAAAAGTCCCGAGGAAGCAATCTTAGATCATCCAGTGCGTGCTGGTCATCCACTAGCAGACTGCCGATCGCGACAGACATGAAGTTGGCTTCTTCAATGGGCTCCTCCGTCCAGAATGTCAGGGGTGTACCGCAGTAGCCACAGAAGACACGCTGAGTCCGGGGCGCATGGCGGGGCGAATGGATGCGGCGAATGGAAGAGTGCGATTCATCGGGGAAGAAGGACTGAGTGTGGGATTGGTACCAGCTGAGAGGTACTCGAAGCCACGCCGAAAGAGGTGTACCGTGAAATCGACCTAGGATTCGATATTAGCCGGGAGATCGGCAAGCTTGGCTTGGTTTACCCACGATTGTCTCGGCTGCTGTCAAAATACACTTCGGCATGGTTTGTCACGTCGTCCGGAATATTGATTTGGTATTCATTTCGACCGCAAGAGCATGAGCCGCGGAGCGGTTCCAAGGCCATGGTGGTACAAGGACTTCCGCGGCGTTGATAATTTCGCAAGGTGGGCTAGGTAGATGATTTAAGATTGGAGATGAGCGGCGGCAGTAGTCTCGCTAAGTAGAAATCCCGATGAGGGAATGATGATCTTTGGTAGTAAATTGGACCGGAAAGTTAAGGTGGTGTGAGGACAAAATTGACATGGGCGGGAGAAAAAGCAAGATGTGTTCAGTGGACCCATCTATGACGTTTAGAAGTTGCCAAGGCCCGTTCCCGGCCCTCCAGTTTACTCCGCATTGGCCCATGGCCTTATCGCTTCCTATCGCTTTCCCGTGTCTCTCATACTCCTTCACATTCTTCCACCGGGTGTTGTTTACCGATTACAATCAACTCCCTCATCGATGCCTTGACTAGACGGGGCCTCAGAACTGTAACGACATCTATACAGCCCGTCCAATTGAAACTAAGAGCCCCGGGCCCTGTATACAACCGGCGCATCTACCATACGCCCTCAGTTGCTCTCAAATCCTCCAGTCATCAAACACACGATGAATCCAGACGATGACCATGATCGGTCGTCCTCAACGCCTAATGGGACATCCAAGCAAGGGTCTGCCCAGGACAAGGACAAGCCTCGCCTTACCGATCAAGAAAAAAAGAGCAATCACATTGCCTCGGAGCAAAAACGACGCGCAGCTATTCGCGAAGGCTTCGATCGCCTCACAGAGCTGGTGCCTGGTCTGGAGGGCCAGGGCCGGAGTGAGAGCATCGTTTTGCAGAAGACCGTGGACTTCATCCACGTGAAGCTGCAAGAACGCCACGATCTCATCGCAGAGATCGAGAGCAAAGGCGGCCGCGTGGACGACTCTTTCCGCCCAACGTGATCCTGTTTCACTCGACATTTCATTGCGCTTTGGTTCGGTATCCTGCGGCCCCTCTTCCCCTCCGCTGGTCGATGGGGATCCGGGGCTGCAGGCATGTGCCGAGGTCCGAGCTGTTTTTCTCAAATTTTGGACCATATGAACTTATACCCACGCTACGAATTTCATTTTCTTGTCTATCTACTCAACCCCTGTATTACGAATGAGATCTTGGAAATGATCAGCGAGGCTTCCTCGTTGCCCGGCAGATTTGATCTTCCCATATGATTTGATGTCAATCACGCATCCTCCACCGCATTCAATGCATTGAACGATTATCAACGCAGTGCCGCAGCTTTTTACTTCTTTTCTTCCTACTGCCTTTGATCATTGTACATGAAAGCTTGTTTTCTGGTTTGTTTCTGCTCCTGGGTACCAGAATGTATATGGATGGTCATGGCTGTTGCTGCGAAGCAACTGGGGCGTTTTTCTTTCCCAACGGTTAACTGAAATCGAGTTCTTTTCAGCTCTGACCGAGCACCCACAGCGACATCCTTACTTTCAATCAAAGTCGGAATTATTTGACCGAGTCGTACTTCGGTCGCATCACGTGAACAGGGTTACGGAGAATAATTGCAGTCATGCACTTCCTAGGTAGCCAACTAGATTATACAAAGGAGTATATCCTCGGAAAGTTAGACGAAATAATGAATTAATGCAGTGGTGATCAAGGTGATATCCCGATATAGACTCTGCACAAAATTCGATAGTGAAGAACTTCGGCTTACCGCCTGATATCTGCCGAGCCCCTGCAGGGTGAAGCAAACGCAGCCTCTACACTCCACGCAAACCTGTAACATACAGGACCTCGTGGACAGCCTGGATCCCCAATTGAATATCCCTGCATATCCTTGCAAGGTCAATCAGCCGCATACAAAGACCATTTGCCTCGACAAAGCGAACGGAGAAAGCACCTGATTCCCCGCATCGCATCGCCCGCAACACCAACGTCCAAAACACCAACCACCCAAAATGACAGACTCCAAAGAAGCCCTCCTATCCCACATGGAAAACATCGACGCCCCCGAATCCGACCCACCACCCGCCTACGAAAAACCTATCTCCAAAGCCAACCGAGCATCACTCCTCCCACGCCCACCACCGCTCAACCTCCCCATCCTCAACAGCCTCCGCAGCAGGCGCGTAATCCTCGCCTCACAATCCCCTCGCCGCAAGCACATAATGTCCTTCCTGGGCCTCCCGAACATAGAAATCATCCCCTCGAACGCAGTGGAAGACCTACCCAAAAGCCTAGGCCCGCTCGAGTACGTGCTAGCAACAGCGACGAAAAAAGCCGAAGCAGTCTACGCACAAGAAATCAACAACGAGGCCAAGGGCGAGCCGGCCCTGATCTTGGCCGCTGACACAGTCGTCGTCGACCCGTCTACAGGCACGATCCTTGAAAAGCCCCGCTCCGAAGCAGACCACGTGGCCATGCTGCGCTCGCTGCGTGACGTCGGAAACCATAAGGTCTACACGGCGCTTGTGGCGATGGCGCCGTTGGCTAGTGCGCGGGACCCGGGGTATGCGGTTGAGAGTATGGTTGAGGAGACGTTGGTGCGGTTTGATGGGGATGTTACGGATGAGTTGATTCTGGCTTATGTGCGCACGCGCGAGGGCGCGGATAAGGCTGGTGGTTATGGATTGCAGGGGCTTGGGTCTATTCTTATTGAGAAGATTGAGGGCAGTGCTGATAATGTTATTGGGTTGCCGCTCAAGGCGACGCTCAAGATTATTGAGACTGTTATGGAGAAGGCGGATGATGAGGATGCCTTTTCTGGGGATGATGGGGAGATTGAGGATGAATGAGGGTTTATTTGTATGAGTTTAGAACCTCTTGTTTGCTGTTAGCCTTGTCTACTTGTGTCTTTACATTATCATTCGGATAGAATTTAAAAGGATTAGAACTTATTTAGAAAGCAATCCAAACGTTGGTAGAAGCACTGTACTTTATTAAATACTAATGACCGTTTACTGCATATGTACCATGCACAAAGTGTACAAAGAACCCGGTTACATATCTACACTACGTAGTATACGGAAAGAAACAAAAAGCACCACGAATGTCTTGTACAAGGGTTATATTCCATTTGATTTTCTATAGCTCACAACCCTGAGCAGCAGGAATCCGGCACTGATCATTAGATTCGGGCTCAGAGACAAAAGAAAAACAATCAACAACATACACAGAGGCGGGACGGAACGCCTGGATGGACCAGAACCAAATTGGTAAGCAGGAAATAAAAAGGAAATAAAAAGACAATATTTCTGAAACAAGGAACCGTAACAGCACTCTATGCCGTCCAGATGCGACGCAGAGCCTCGGTCACACCAACGTCGTTTGTCTCGAACTCGTACAGACCAACGGCGGTAGTGAGAGTGAACGCGCGCAGGAGCCAGTTGCAAGTGGTACGGGTCTTGGGCACACGGGAAGGAGGGAAGTAATCGACGATGGCAGCCCTGGTAGAGTTATGTTAGATTGTGATTTGCGGTTGCAGATGTGAGGTAGACCGAGGGGAATAGCGGAATAGCGCGGGGAGGTTCTTACTGGAATCCGATGTGCGAGTGTGCGACAAGCAGAGTGCACAGGACGGCATCCATGACCGGGTTGAGGGAGCCAGCGGCGAAGGGAGCGAAGGTGAGAGGGACCAGGCCGACACAGACCAATCTGGTATAGATGTTAGCCGGTTTTTTTCTCCGAGCTTGCCGGGGTTACCGGAAGGGGTTGCATAGGTTGGCATTATAGTGCGCAAAAGGAAGCACAAACCTCTCAAAATCCCAGTGGTAGCTGCCCTCGGAAGGGTGGGGTGTGGGAATGGGAGCGGCGTCATTCACTATTGGAATAGGTTAATATCGAAGACTTCGGGAAAGACGGTATTGCGATTTGATGGGCATTTCTTGAGCGCTGAGAGCAATGAAGTCTGTATATCTCCACGTATTGCAGGCATTTTTACTCAATGCCATAGAAAAGAGAGGGAAGACTCGGTAGGAAAGGCGCGGAAATCACATACCAGTTCCGTCAATGGTCTCTGTGTCGCAAAAATCAAGTTAGCAACTGCTCATAAACGACATCCAATAGATCTCTCCATTGGCAGTGCCTCAATAAGCCTTATGGCAGGGCCTCTACTTACGAGGCAACGGGGGCAGGATCTGCTTCTTAGCGGAGGCATGGAAAGCGACGACCTGCGAAACGCCGACATTCTTCTGAAGGAAGGGTGCCCGAGGGGCAAGAGTCTGTCGCAGCAGAGTTGAGCGCGCAAATGAAGCCATTGTGAGTGGAGAGTATGATGTGAAGAAGCAGAAACGCTGTTCGAACACAAGCGGATGAAGTTGGAGGTCTCGGGAATCCGAGTCAATATGTCATCCTTTTACGGGTCATTTGATTGGTCGATGGCTATCCGCCCAGCCGAAATTGGCCGAGACTCTATGAGAAACCTCCATTTAGCCCTGCGGGTATCTTTTTCGTGTCTCCGGAGTATATCTGTAGTCTTTATGAAGTTGTTCGTTGCAAACTGGTATTTATCTTACGGTATGTTCATGTTCTTTTTGTGTAACGTTTGTTCGATTTGACTATTTTCAGAGGTATCTATATTGTCCCTACTGAACAGTCCTAACCGAGGTATTCAATACCTCCTAGCTAATGTTTCAACAAAAATCAATGCACCAGGCATCTCGCTATTTCATCAATCTCATAAAGCACTTAAAACTTCAGGACAGCCTTGCCCAAGTTCTTGCCGTAGAAGATGCCAATCAGGCCCTCGGCAGCGTTGTCAATGCCTACGGTCTCATGGATGAGCACCTTCAACGAGCCATCCTTGATCCACTTCTGCACATTCTCCTGGTGCTCCTTGGTGTAAGCATCACCCATGCCCTTATCACCGACGATGAAGCCGCGCATAGTAATACGCTTGACGAGGACATTGTGGATGTTCTTGATGGGGTACGGGGCAGAGTTGTACTGGGAGATCAGACCGCAAACGACGATACGGCCGAAGTTGTTCATAGCATCGAGGGCAGCCTCGAGGTGCTCTCCACCGACGTTCTCGTAGTAGATGTCGATGCCCTCGGGAGCGAGACGAGCAAGGGCATCAGCGGGCTTCTCAGTCTTGTAGTTGAAGCCACCATCGAAGCCAAGAGTCTTGGTGATGTACTCGAGCTTCTCGTCCGAGCCGACGGATCCAATGACGCGGAGCCCCTCGCGCTTGGCGAGCTGGCCGACCAACTGGCCGACGGCTCCGCTGGCAGCAGAGACGAAGATGGTCTCGCCCTTCTTGGGCTTGCCAATCTCGTATAGAGACGAGTATGCGGTCAGACCGGGCATACCAAGGGCACCAAGGAAGACACGGATGTCCTCGATGCCGAGAGGGTTGTCCAGCTTTTGGATGCGGACGAGCTCCGGCTCGCTGAGGGCAACGTACTCCTGGATAGGAACGTGGCCAATGACCACATCACCTTCCTTGTAGCTGGCGTTGTTGGAGCGCACGATCTTGCCGATGCTGCGGCTATCAATGGGCTTGTCGAGGGTAAAGGCGGGGGCGTACGACTTGGCCTCAGCGGCGCGCATGCGGCCACGCATGTAGGGGTCGAAGCTGGTGTAGAGAGACTGCACGACGACACCGTTGTCGGGAGCGGCAACGCTGGCATCATAGTCGGCGCTCTCGATTACTAGGTCCTGCCCAGCAACGGGATATCCCTGAGGAATCTTCTTGAACACGAGAGCTTTGTTGGTAGACATGGTGTATATGTGTAGTAGGAAAGATAAATATGGGAAGTAGAAATTCCCCGAAGTATGGAGGGAGCTCTTTATATGATGAGTGAGCTGTTCAACAAAGCGGGGCTGTACCGATCAGATTTGAAATACCAATCCGTTTTGCTTTTCAGATTATAAACCAGATGGATCACGGAGAAGCTTCTCGAGATGGTGATGCTCCAGGGAATATACTCCACTTTCTACAGATTATGGTTTGATGTGCATAATTCCCCTACCCATGCCCTTAACGTACGTCCAACGAGTGTACGATGAGCACATAACTGTGGCAACGGAACCAGTTTTTTCTTAAAACAGTGGGGAACGGATGAATCTAAGACACCTCAGGCCGACGGAGACAGCCATTTTAGGTAGGAAAACCGTGACCCTCGGCATCTCAACCAAATGAGCTAATTGTTGATTAATACACAAGCCGAATACACGATTGTTAAGCAACGGACCAGTTGGCCATTTTGGGATAAAGCGGATTATGGAGGACGTATGTTGTACGTTGCACGGAGTGTATTTCGGACCTATATATGAAGTACTATATGAAGTACTATGCGAAGTATACATCAATCCTTCTTGTTCTGCTATAAAAACATTCACATTCACATTCGCATTCTTGGATTGGAAAATTATGCATTAATTACATCAGTATGTAGTCATTGCCGGAAATATGCGCCAGCATTATAAACTGAAAATTCGCATCATTGAATACGCCTAATCATGGGGATAACCTAAGCCTTGCCAGTGAGTGCGCTGTCGGCCTTCTCAATAAAGTAGTGCTTGCCCTTGATCATCTTGACCATGAAGCCGAAAGGTACAAATCCGAAAATTTGTCCCGTACCACTAGTTTCACCAATAGGCACGACCATCATAATGCTATCGCCCTGGTCGAAGGTCTTGATGGCCGTACCACCTACAATGGCCGCTTTGAGGTTGGCCGCCGCCACATGCGCTTGCTCGATAGCTTTGAAACTGAGGCGCATCGAGAAGTTGGTGATATCACCAGCAGCAAAGATAGGCAGGGTTGACCCGTCAGTCGACTGAACACGCATCTCGTTGTTCACTTTCACCCAACCGTCCTTGTCTAAGAACTGAGCGGGAATAAAACTGTTGTTCGGGGTCGCACCGGTAGTGGGGATATAGAGGTCAGCCGAAAGCTTGTCTCCACCTTCCAGTGAGACAGTCCAGTTGGAACTATCGTCGGCCGGAGTCTCGACCCCAATGACTCGCTTCGAGGTCACGACCTTGACCTTCTTGTGCTCTAGCTGCTTCCGTGCAGCCGAGCTAGCGGATGACTTGAGCATTGGGAGCACGCGATCTGTCGCGGAGACAATCGTGATGGAAACCTTGTTGGTATTGCCGCTTTGTTCCACTGCTTCGGCAAGCTCACCAGCCAGCTCAACACCGATAGGACCCGCACCTCCAATCACGATCTCCTTCGCCCCTGCAATGATTTCCTGTGCCGACTCGATCAGCTGCTCCATATCATCGCGATTCGACTGCTTGAATGGAATGGATGTGCCGGTGAGTGAGCCGGTAGTGGCAGATGTAGTGCTGCCCGACGCGATCACGAGATAATCATATGGTAGGGTCTTGGGCTCGCCCTCGTTCGGGGTTACGGAGACTGACTTGGCGGCGGTGTCGATAGCCGTCGCAACTCCTGGAAGAAAGTCGAACGCGTCGAGCCGGTAACTTGCAAAAGCTGTCGTGATTGGCAGCAAGTACTGTTCGGGGCGGAAGGCCTTGGGTTTGGCGACGATGCGTGGGGCAGCAATATTCCAGAAGAAGCTGGTTGAGGGGTTGATCAGCACAACCTTTGCATCAGGTACATCGCGAAGCACAGAATGAGCAATATGAAGGCCTGCGAACGAGCCTCCAACAATAACTACATCAATAGGGGCCATGATATAGAGTCAGTGAAGTGGAGAAGAGTGATTTTCCTGTTTTGTTTCGGGAGAAGGGAGGGTCTTATATGTGACAGATTAGATCTGCTCTCCGCGCGTATGCAAGGTTAGCAAGTAAGCCTGAGATACGTATATTCTTCGTTGTCATCCCTCTAGCGCTAGATTCAGAGAGAAAAGTATTGGTCAGCGAATTTTGCATTTCTAAATTCTACCTAATGCTGACCACCCCATTGTCGGCTATCGAAGATAATTTGCGCTTTCCAAGGTTTAGGCTGAACCTTAGATTTGATGTGTTTGCCTGATTTGCTGTGTTTGACATGTTTGTTTGTTTGACTATCAAAGCACATGACCCGACATATAACATTAAGGAAGAAGATGAGAAGAGATGCATAGCGCTGTACGATGCACATAGTAACTGAATTGACCGGCAATTCCTATAAATATGACGGCCTAAACAAAATAGCTAGATCTTCAGAGATGTTGATCTGCCAAGTTCCAAGTATTTACTGCTATATGCACTCCTACCCAGGCACAACAACCAACATCAGCTCCAGAAAATGGGCACCAGATTCTATCCAATTTGGTCAAGTTGGGCTTCATTTTCTTCAATGTAAATTCAGTTTACCTTTGAAGAAGAAACGTAACAGGCTATATTAGATAGATTGTTTGCTAGACAGCTAAGCGAGATGTTCGAGGTTTGCAACGTTTGCACAGTGGTCAGCTATATTGACTGGCCGCTTCCCAATTTACAACTTGCTTCTTCTTTCTCTCCATCTCAGTTATTCTGAATTGGATGCGCTCTTCCGTTACAAGACCTGGCACGTTACATATAGCATCGTTTGCTTTTTACCCACAGATATTATTTGTCGAGGCTCCCATTGCCTATATATTCCTAGGCTGCCTATTTTCCAACAGAACAACCATTTCAACTTCCTTCCTCGCAACTCTCACAACATATATGATATAATATATCTATGCTTGATCTATCTCTTGCCCTATGGCATTCAAATTGCTATATAAGTGGCCAGTCTCGCAGGTAATTACTATCCATTTGCACTTTTCGCATATGCTCTTAGCTGACACAAGGAAGAATCCAAGACATCTAGGTATACAGCAATGGCATCAAGCTTCGGGTCATTTACTTCACAACCGCCCAACAAAACTACTTCCATTCAAGAACGGGTCCAATAATTTCCCTCAATGAGCAGAAACAATGGGTGTTCTTGCTATCAAGTGGAAGGAGAGAGGCGTTCTCAACCCGGAGTGCGCTCCAAATGCGACATTCCGAATGTTCAATGAACAAATCCGCTCGATTGAGTCGCTTCTTATCGTTCCGAATGTAAGTTCAATTTGGCTTTTTCCCCCATCAAATATCTCGACGAGCATACATACTAACTTCGCCTTTTTCCAGGATCCTACAACACAGCTTCCAAATTTTGAGAATGCTCTGAAAGCGATTCAGAGAATCCCGCCTTTCGTGAACTTCTTTCAATAGAATTTGGCAGGTTCGATGGTACCAACCTGATCTCGGAGAATCGGCTTTCTGGTCTGTATTTCCACGAAGAAATTGGAACACGATGAGCTGGGATTCTGTACCAACCCGGAACTCGAGCGTGATCTCCCACGGTTCGGTATTGGCCTATTCAAGGTCAAATCGACAAAAGGAATCACGAAAAAGAAAACATGGCGGTCAAACTGCGAAAGCGTGGGCTGTACGTGATTTTTTCTACAATGAAGATCAGTTCTACTTCGTCACGAAGGGATCCAATATACTACTTTGTCGATGACTTCAGACTTTCTATGGACAGTACCCCCCAGTTTCCATTCGCTGGGATTTTCACTCCTGAGTGGCAACCAATATCTGTTACCAGGGCCTGGATGGAGTGTATAAAGAAGAGGAGGGTGATCTTCATGCACGAAACACCAAAACACCAGAACACCAATACCACTATGACCCGCACCAAAATGTGGGGTTTGGGAGAAGGTGTATCCCCATTACTCCGACGAACGGATTGTTAAGTTCATCATCTTCTGGCAACTGGTGGACTTTTTCTCCAAAACAATGCAGGCCGCAGAATTGAATTACGAAGTCCGTGACAAAGAACTACTGGCGATCATCAGTGCGCTACATGAATGGCGACCTAAATTAGAAGGACTCTCTCGCTCTCTCGCAAAGACCGTTTCGAGATGCCCCCACCAGTCTCTTGAATACGACTACAACGCTTCAGATCCAGCGTAAACCTGACACAATTCATCCAAAAGAAAATTCCCAAGACTCGGATGAACAGTATGAAGATACAACTTGAGCTATACATCTACCAACTTTACTTTTTTGAATCGAGTAGTGACTCTGTATATTTACTGCAAGTAGAACTGTAAACCTAGGAACTATTCACAACCCTCAATTAATAGTGGCGGGCATTTTTCTCTAAATCATTGCATGTTATAAACAACATAACTATGGAAAATGTTCTTAGTGCATCAGTCGTTGGGTTGGCAGATTTAGCATGTTTGCCATGTTTGCCGTGTTTGCCGCGTTTGCCACGTTTGTTTATTTTCTCCTATCTCGGATGTTATCTTTCGATAAGGATCATGTGACCCCGTAATTATTTTTGCGCCTCTCCTTGGAACGCCCCAGTGCAATTTGCAACTTCATCATCCTCCCATCCAATTTTTTCCATTAGCATTCTATCATGATGCTTGGAACAGTTCGCCGATTCGGCGTTTCACACGCGTTGCGCGCTACTACACCTCGCTCAATCTCAGCGCGGTTGACTAGCCAGCTGCCGAAATGGCAAGCTCCTTCGTCTCTTGCATCTCTTGATGCAACCAGATCGCTCCATTCCTCTTTCCCGAGGATGTCTGCGGCTACTGCAGAGGCTACTGCAGAGGAAATTGTGGAAGAGATCAAGACCTCCAAGCCTGCGTTAATCACAGAGTTTGCCGATTTGGCGGCGGAGAATTTCATTCACAGCAAGATTATCAAGAACATCGTTCAACCTGACCGGATGAACCTCAAGACTATGACTGAGGTGCAGACTCTTACTATCAACGAGATTGTCAAGGGCGATGATATGTAAGTTTGATTGACAGAATTACCTTGACATTGATTGGTCCGCTAACCTGCAAAACTTTTCAGCCTTGCTCAGGCCAAAACAGGAACCGGCAAGACGCTTGCTTTCCTTCTACCCACCCTTCAGAACATTTTGAATGACCCCAGTGTCGATCTCTCCAAGGTTGGCCGCCGCTCAGCCAGAACTGCTCCTTCAGAAATCCGTGCTCTTATCATCTCCCCTACCCGCGAACTCGCGGAACAGATCGCAGTTGAAGCCAGGAAGGTTGCGTTTGGCACTGGTCTTATTGTTCAGACCGCTGTTGGCGGCACGCAAAAGCGTGCCGGTCTTGCCAAGATCCAACAGGAGGGATGCCACCTGCTCATCGGCACCCCGGGACGTCTCAAGGACATCCTCTCGGACCCTTGGACTGGTGTCTCTGCTCCCAAGCTGAACACTCTGATCCTCGATGAGGCAGATCGCCTTCTGGACCAGGGTTTCGCTCCTGACGTTGAAGAGATCCAGACACTGCTTCCCGACCCCACAAAGGTGGACCGTCAGACACTCATGTTCTCGGCCACCGTTCCCAGAGAAGTTATGCAGATGGTTCGTCAGACCCTGAAGCCAGGCTTCAAGCACGTCAACACCGTTAGTGAAGATGAAGTTCCCACCCACGTGAGGGTGCCCCAGAAGCTTGTATACACCCGCGGTCTCGAGAACAACCTGCCCGCCCTTCTCGAGCTCGCTCAGAACTGGCAAACGCGTCGGGATAACGGCGAGGACCTGCGACCTTTCAAGGCCATTGCCTACTTTAACTCCACTGCTGAGACCAAGGTCTCCGCTGATGCTTTTAACGCCATTGCTCGCTCTTCAGAGTTCCGCCAGTCTTCCATGGGCAACATGAGAATGCTGGAGATCAACTCGCGTCTCACGCAGGCGCTCCGAACCCGCAGCGCTGACAACTTCCGCAGGGCTCGCGAGGGTATCTTGTTCTCGTCGGACGTGACTGCCCGTGGTATGGATTTCCCGGATGTCACCCACGTCGTCCAGATTGGTGTTCCTCGCGACCGTGAGACCTACATTCACCGTCTCGGCCGCACAGCCCGTGCTGGCAAGGAAGGTGAAGGCTGGCTGTTCATGCACCGCGGCGAACAAGACGCTTACCGGAAGCGCCTGGGCCGTCTCCCATTGAAGGTGGACGACGCTTTGGAATCTGCCGATGCAGATCTCTCCCAGACCTTCTCTAACGAGACACCAGTTGGCCAGATCGTCAACAAGATTACCGAGGGTCTGGCCCAGTGTGACGGTGCTACCAAGGTCAAGTCTTACATGGGTCAACTTGGCACCACCACTGCGAACTTCACCAGCAAACAAGATGCCATTCAGGCACTCAACCAGATGTTCACCGTGGGGTACAACATGCAAACCCTCCCTGAGCTCAGCCCTAGATTGATGCAGCAAATGGGTCTCAACCGAAAGGACGGTGTCAGCGCGGGTGACGGCACCCGCCAGCGACGCGAGGGCGGATTCTCCCGCGGTGGTGACCGTGGTGGCCGTGGTGGCTTCTCCCGTGGTGGCGATCGTGGTGGTTTCTCTCGCGGCGGTGACCGCGGTGGTGACCGTGGCGGTTTCTCCCGTGGTGGTGATCGTGGCGACCGTGGTGACCGTGGCGAGCGCAGCAGCTTCTCCCGTGGTGGTGACCGCGGTGGTTTCTCTCGCGGCGGCGACCGCGGCGGTGACCGTGGCGGCTTCTCTCGTGGAGGTGACCGTGGTGACCGCTCGTCGCGTCCTCCTCGCCGCTCGTTCAACGACGACGAGTTCCGGTTCTAAGTTTGAGTTGAATCAGAGATCAACTCTTGCCAGCAACGCTAGCAATTATAATTTTTCTGGGAATCTCATGGATAGCAAGGTTGCTGTCCGGTGAGACCAGATCAGCCAAAAGTGAAAAGATGAAGGATCCATTCTGGCATTGGGCGGCGTTCTCCAATCTCTTTTTTCGGACTGTCTTGTGTACTATACACCCTTGGGTGCTTTGTGTTTCTAATTTAGACTTCTCTCCTCTTTGTCTTATACTCTACTTGGTTGTTCTGCGGGATTATTTTCTGGATACGAAGATCTGACCATCACTTTTGATTTCATGTACAATATCTTCTAGTTCTTTGCCATTATTCTATCCAGGACTCAATTTTCATCTTGACAGAACATCTTTCTACCGAAACAATGATAATAAACAGGAAAAGACTTTGGCCGCCTCTAACCAGATCCATTTTCGAGAATCTAAACCGTTGAATATGGGACAAGAAGGAACCCTTATATCACACATCCCAAGTGTATCGCAATATGCACGAAGAAACAGTCACTCGTGAGAACAAATAAAACCAAACAGAAGGAAATAAGAGATGCATTTAATCACGGGTGATCATGTGGCTTCTGGCAGGACCGGTACCAATCCACTTGACAGGAACACCACCAATCTCACGCTCAATGAACTCAATGTAAGCACGAGCATTAGGAGGCAAATCCTCGTAACGCTGAACACCCATAGTGTTCGACTTCCATCCAGGCAGAGTAACATACTCGACCTGAATCTTCTCGACGACATTAGGATCCGCAGGGAAAGTACCAGTAGTGCGCTTTCCATCGGGCAAGATGTAAGCAACACCAACCTTGATCTCATCAAAGTCATCAAGGATATCAAGCTTAGTCAAGTTCAGCGCGGTGTAGTGGTTGATAGCGTGAGAGTAGCGGCACAGGACAAGATCCAACCAGCCACAGCGACGACGACGGCCGGTAGTCACGCCGAACTCACGTCCAACCTTCTGCAGCTTGTCGCCGTCTTCGTTGAGCTGCTCGCTAGGGAAAGGTCCGGAGCCAACACGCGTCGTGTAGGCCTTCACCACGCCGATTACGGACTTGATGCTGGCGGGGTTCAGGGCGAGCGCTTGCACGGCTCCGCCCAGACCGGTTGATGACGAGGTCACGTACGGGTATGTGCCGTGGTCGAGGTCGAGCATGAGGGCGTTAGCGCCTTCAACCAGTGTGTTAGTCGAGTCCTTGTGCGCCTGCAGGAACTCGAGCTGGTCGACGATGTAGGGCTTGAGGAGTGTGCGGTATTCCTAGAGATTGTCAGCGGTCTGTTGTGACGTGGATGCAGAAAATCAGGATTTTCCATTTCTGCTGTCGCGCCATAGTCATTCGTCGGTGGAACGGAGAAATGGCCGTATTTTCATGCGTACCCTGAATCGTGCAATCTCCTCCTCAACATCGTATGCCAGGTCTCCGAACCGTGTGCGGTATGACATGTCCAAAGTGCGCAGTTTGCGCTCGAAGGTGGCCTCGTCTAGGATCTCGCCGACGCGGACACCGCGGCGTGCGGCCTTGTCGCTGTAGCAGGGCCCGATGCCCTTGCCGGTGGTGCCGACCTTGCGGCCACCGAGACCCT